GCAAAATAAGGAAAAATAGGCGTGTTTCGGATTCGAGGCTGTGTAGGGGGGATATCGTAGGTAGGGTTTGAATATTTGTCCGGCCGTACATCAAACAGGCATGAGAAAAGGTTCCGAATAACATGAACTATGATCCGTTCTCTGCGTTTATTTTTATGGCAGATCTTCGTGTTCCCTGGTATACGCTCCAAATTGGAAGGCGAACCCAAAGCAGAGTATATAGATTACGCAAACGATAGAGGTAAGGTTCCCAGCAGGCATTTATTGACTTGGACTGTCTGTAGACGGCAACTTATAGACGATTGGGTCTTGCTGTCAGTCTTTCATGAAGCGCCAGAGAAAATCTAGTCGTGGGCGCTGCCATGAATGTTAAACGAGGCCCTGACTTTTACTCTTGTCCTTCTCGTCAGCCGTTTTGCCCTCCGTCGCGCCTCATGCAACTCGCATGCTCCTTGCATCTTGCTACGTTTGAGGGAACAGAGTGTAACCGCCCGTATATAGTTACCCTACAATCGACTGCCTTGAACCGTCTCAACCTGGAAATCGTCGAAGGTGACCGAAAACCCCTCAGTTGTGGTGTTGTTCGTATCCGGTCGGGAAATATAGATGCATATCCAGATATCCGGGTCCGCGTCTTGGAGGTTCGCAAACGGCCAGGTGAAGAGCCGGATGGTAGAGGGCTCTTGTTTCCTAGCAGCAGAGTCGTCGGCTGGAGGAATCACCCGCGCCAAGAGGCCAGAGCCATGTCGCAAAAACTCGATAGTGAGCGATTCGAGATGTTTGGGTGTCGTTGGCCACGTCGACCAGTCCAGTTGATGGTTGGATCCCGCCACGGCGATGATCGGGTTCTCTCCAATGACTTCCAGGCCATATTTGATGTAGTAAGGGGCGGATTCTGCATCTCCAGGGTGTTTGGCATTGGGGGTCGGCAAACCAGGCAGAGGTCGAACGAACAGCATTCCAACCTGATCGCATTCACACATCTTCGATAATGAAGGCCATCTGAAAGTCGCTCGGGCGCTCTTGAAGTCGGCTGCTCTTAATGCTACTTTGGACAACGGAGACGCGAATTGCCAAGGTCTGACTTTGGGGTTGAACGGAATGCCGACCACATCTTTCCCCGGTGTCACAGTCAGAGTGAGAGGACCTGAGTCCTCGTCTCGATTGACGGCTTCGATCTTAAGTGAAGACATTGACGCAGATGGATATGCTTTCCTCAGATTGAGCCCATGTCCCAGCGGGACGCATTTATTTTTGACAGCACAAGTGGTTGAGCGACCCTCCAGGTCGAGCTGTATGCTTCCTCAGGCTAACATTGACCGTGAATGAAGGGGGAACATGATTTTCGGACTTTCCGCACCCAGTCTGATAGGCACTTACTACGAGTTCTCCGATGGAGAATTGGGTTTTGGTGTTCGCCATTTGCTTTTTCCAATATGCTCGGCTTGAGAACGGCTTTTATCTGCCATATCCACAGTAGAACCCCAGTAGGTCCCGGATTTCATTGATAATGTAAGTTATAAATTACAACAGGAGGCAATTAGGACTTGGAATATCCAAGTGAATTTTTTCGTCAGCCCAAATTCCCGAGACCAAGAAGGTCTCTTTGTTACCTCTAACATTGCGAAGGATCCTCTACTGCCACCAATGTCTACCACTCAGGTCCTCAGTGTCGCCGATTGTCAACCCCAATCACAAACCCTAACAGCCATAGGTATTCAGCGAGTGGCGCGAACAACACCGGTGTCTGAAATCGGTCGCATAATCCAGGATTATGGGGCAGTCGTGATCAAACAATTCCTGTCCACGGACCAAGCGGATCGTATTAACGAGGAGCTGGATCCGCATCTCAAGGCTCTGATCCCGTCCGGTCAGCTGGTCGATCTGAACCAAGGCATAAAGGACTTTTTGGGTCATCACACCAAAAGGCTGACGGATCTATTGCAACTCAGCAAGACGTGGAGGGACGAAGTGATCAACGACGACCTTATGCACGGAATCTCAGACGAGGTCCTCAGGAAGCAAGTGGGCGACTACTGGATGAGTACCGCCACCATGATGGAGATCGGGCCGGGCAATCCTCTACAGAAGTTGCACCGAGATTTCGGGAACTGGTGGCCGTCGTTCATTCTGGGCAAAGACGCGCCTGAACTGATGCTCAACTTCCTCATGGCAACAAATCAGACCACGGTCGAAAATGGTGCCACTCAAGCTATTCCCGGCAGCCACAAGTGGGAATATTCGGCAGCGGATCATAACCTGGGCGACGAAAGCCAAACGGTTCCTGTCGAGCTGGAAAAAGGCGACTGCTTGATCATCGGCGGCAAAATCGTTCACGGAGGCGGCTGCAATCAGACCACGGACTACTTACGGAGAGTCATTGCTTGTGTCATGGTCACGAGTGCCTTCACCCAAGAAGAAGCTTTTTCTCATACCGTGCCTCTAGAACTGGCCAGAACCCTCCCAGAACGGGTGCAAAAGGTTCTGGGTTTCCGCAGTCAGTGGCCAGGCGGTAGTCCCGGTCTCTGGTCCCGCAATGCCGATGATATCGGTCGCTACCTAGGCTTGATGGACGTAGGACGTGGTGATGGCAAGGTCAAAGCGGGGTGATAGCATGGAAGGGTCGTTGATTTAGTCTGCAATAAATACATTCCTCCTATTGTAGGTTCATGTGCACCTCCCAACAAAGTGCGAACTGCGTATCCAGCTTTGAAGGACCGAGCACGGAGAATGCTAGAGAGGTGACAAAGACAGGACGACGGAGATTCCGGACAAAGCCCTAGGAGGAGCGGATCCAGTGGGTTCGTTGAAACACCTACTTTGCTTTCCGGGAATGCAGTTCGTGGGCGGGGCGTTTTGGTCCTTCGTGATAGGAACTTTTTGAAAAGAGGAGCGATTCATGAAGCTGATGCTAAGCTTGATCCCTGAAAACGTCCGATGGTCTCGTTTGCCGTCGGATAGGCGACACCGGGAACTCCGTGAGTGGGTTCTCTATCACCTTGTCAAATGTCCAGATCACTGAAGATATGTGTCGCTAATATCAACGGTAGGGAGATCTCTGCCGAGTGTAAGATGAACGCATCATCACCACCAAGGATCTTTCATTGTGAGAACAGACAGTAATCCAAGCCTATGGGCACTGTGGTCCTCATTCATCCTATTTTCAAATCCTTGACTCGAACAAAGTGAAAGAGCGCTCTGGTGATCATGGGGCACTTTTCATATGCAGCAGATGCTCTGACGAAGGCTCATGAAGAGTTCACATCTCGGAATCCGCAGTCTCTGAAAGCACATCGGGATGCTCACCAGAATCTTCCTGGTGGTAACACCAGAACGGTGCTGCACGCCGAGCCATTTCCCATCACTTGGGTCCGAGGAAGCAAGAACACACTGACATCAATTGACGGCGACGTATATACGGATCTTCTGGGAGAGTTCAGCGCGGGGATCTTTGGTCATTCGGAGCCGCGTATCGCTGAAGCGGTCCAAGCTGCATTGTCGGCCGGGTGGAATTTGGGCGGGAACACGCTCTTGGAGAAGAAGTTCGCTGCTAAAGTATGTCAACGGTTTGGCCCGGCAGGAATTGAAATGGTCCGGTTCACGAATTCCGGGACTGAAGCCAATACCACCGCTCTGAATGCCGCGGTCGCCATCACCTCGAGACGAAAGATCCTGGTCTTCAGCGGGGGATACCACGGTAGTACTCTGGTATTCCCGATGACGCTGATGAAAGGGTCGACCAAAGCGCCGATGAATCTACCGCACGAGTTCGTGTTCGCGCCCTATAACAATATTTCCGAGACACAGGCGATTGTCGACAGAGTCGGCGGCAATAGCCTGGCTGCTGTTTTGGTCGAACCAGTCCAAGGATCTGGAGGATGCAGGCCTGCCACGGATCGCTTTATGCAATACCTGCGTCAACTCTGCGACACGACTGGTGCAATCCTGGTTCTTGATGAGGTTATGGCTTCTCGCCTCGGGGTGTCGGGATACAGTGCCAGCCTAGGAATTAAAGGTGATGTCGTGACCTTGGGCAAGTACGTTGGTGGCGGTATGACTTTTGGTGCTTTTGGAGGCCGGAAGGATATCATGGAACGATTCGACCCGTCGAAAAACAATTTGTTCCATCCAGGAACCTACAACAACAATGTGCTTACTATGTCAGCTGGTATGGTGGGACTCGATATCTACAACGCCGCCGAAGTCGCTCGACTCAACCAGCTGGGTCGAGATATCAAGGCCAAGGTCCAACAGATTCTGATTGACGACAAGGTATATCCGCCCATGATTTCAAAAGCATCAGCCGACATCATCGAGATCGACGGTCTCGATGATGAACCCATGATCCAAACGGACAGCGATGTAGCACAGGCGTCGACCAGCCTACCGTTGATGTTCATCACAGGCCGTGGAAGCATGCTGAACGTGCGGTTTTCGGGGCCGGACGCCGCCATCTGGCAAGCGCATTACTACCACCATATGCTTTCCAAGAACATCTACATTGCCACTCGTGGCTACACGCCTCTGCATTTGCAAGTCACTCCCGAAGATGCTCAGCGATACGTGGATGCTATCCGCGAGTTTGTCCACCTGCACAATGACCAACTGCGCTGGCATGAGTTGGCTAACGGTCATAAATGATTTGGCTTGAGAAACTAAATAAGAAGAACGCGCATTTTCTCTCTGGACTTGTGTGGACGTGGGTGAGCAATCAAAAGCAGATCCAAGCAACGGAACAATAAACATGAGTTTGAGCAATGAAGACATTCATGTTATGACCCAATCAGATTGTAAATCAAACAGTCTGATATTTTGAACATTCTGCCTTTATCCCATCTAACCCCACAACATATTCATAGCGTTATCGTGGCCACACAACAATGAACACTTTAGCCTGTCTCTAAACTCGGTTGTGGACAAGACTGCCCGTGCACGATATTTATCCCAACCATTCAACACAACGATGCAGCACCAGTCTCAACACATCTCTCAATCGCGCTCTAGTAGATAAGACGCTCGAAACCTTGGTCCGGATCATCCATGTACCAAGCCTTGTCTTTGCCTTCCTCTTCCATCGTACACCACCCGTTCCCTAGATATGCAAATCGGTTGCGCGAGCGTCGGGTCCACTTGTAGTCCTCCCAGCGCGGCTCATGCAACATTTGGAACCAGTGTAGCCGACTGCCGGGATGGGTGAGTGGAGGACTGTCTTTCTTCCCTCCCTTCATCCAGGAACGACAGTTCCCTCCCCACACGGTCCGCTCCATGAACTTGTCAGCGTGCTCGATAAAGTCGTCGACTGCCTCTTCCAGAGGCTCGACTGCCTTGTAATTCTCTGTCTGGACCTTGTAGATCAGCTGGAAGAGATACTTGGTCAAGTGCTCTATACTGGGCAATGCGGAGCCGTGGCTCAGCGGCGAGTTGGGCCCGAGGAAAACTGAAACGGATTCGTTAACACGGAAGAGGTAATGTTGCTCCCGCTGAATAGAACTTACCAAAGTAGTTGGGGAAATTTGCCACTGTGCACGACAGATAGCTCTTGGGACGGTCTTTCCACTGCTTGCGCAGATCCATGCCGTTGCGCCCGATAATGGGGAAGCGTGGACGCCACGACGTCTCAAAACCTGTCGCACAGATGATGGCGTCGAACTCCAGGACCGTGCCATTCTTTAACTTGATTCCATTCTCCACCACCTGCCCGATCGAGTCGTACTCAACCGTGACGTTCGGAGCCGTGAGCGCTTCCAAATATCCCGTTCCTGGGGTTGGTCGCCTAGGTTAACGTTAGAGATCCAATAAGTAGCAGATGAGCACGACTCCAAAAGATATTCCTCACCTGCAGCCAAATCCGAATTCAGTAGGGATAAGTATGTCCGCAAGATCTTCACTGCGAGAACCCAGGCGAGCCTTCATCATTTTCGTGATCCCCTCCACGGCTAGCGCTTGTTGGGGGGAGTCTTTGAGAGACTATTCATCTTCCCATCAATTTCGAGCCTCTAATTCAGATTGTGCTTGGCATCAACTTACAAATGCGAAGTTGCTGTTCATGTCTGTCTCAATGGCTTTCCGATACTGCAAGAACTTTGAGGAGTCCTTGCGGAACTCCTCTCTTTGCTGTTCGGAATCTGTCGACCGTCAGCTTCTTGGACGGTTGCCCAGGAGAGGGTCAAACACTCGGACAAGAGAAGTTGGCTCCATTGGGACCAGCAAAGGCTTGAGCATAAGACGTGGAGATCCAGGTCGGGTTTCGTATGAAATTGGTCAGATGATCCGCAACTGGCATTTAACGTCAGTAATTGCATTCAATAAGCCCAGCAGAGCTACCAAAACTCACTCGGCTGCAAAGCTGTCACGAGCTGGATGCCGGAAGAGCCATTTCCCACGACTGCAATCCGTTTCCCCGACAATTGGACACTTTGATCCCAGTGTGCCGAATGGAGAAGGGTTCCTTTGAACGACTGAAGGCCCGGAATGTCAGGCCATTGCCAATGGTTCAAAAATCCAGCTCCATTGACCAGAAAATGACACGAATCTTGGATTTCTTGTCCCGTGGTCTGGTCGGTGACCGTCACGTTCCAGATACCGTCCTCTTCGCACCACTCTGCTCGCGTGACGAGGTGCTGTGTCTTGATGTTTTGGTCGAGCTGGTACCGCTCCACCACTTCAGTAAAGTACTTGAAGATTTCTGGTCCGGTGACGTAGAAAGAGCTCCAGTCCGGGTTCAGTGCCCACAAGAATTGATAAATATGGGAAGGAATGTCGCAGGCACAACCAGGATAGATATTCTCGAACCACGTGCCTCCTATTGAAGGATTCTTTTCGTACACCGTGAGATCGATGTTCTTCAGATGCCTTCGGGCTCGATAGATGAGGTTCAATCCTGTGGCACCTGCTCCAATGCAAATGACTTTGAGTGGCCTCGCCTCACCCAAGGGGTACTCCTCGATCTGGTACGAGTCTCGCTCGGTCGACAGACCATTCACTTCCTTTTCGATCCTAATGCTGCCCATGGTCTTGCTTTCTTCCGAAGAATATATGTGTCTTTGTGCCTTCACGGAGCTTAAGAAGTCGAACAGCTGGGATAGTCTTTGGCGAGGAGTGCTGGGTCGCGAATAGATTTCACAATTGACGCCGAGTTTTGATCGCGCACTCATCTTAAGGACTTACCCAGCCATCATTTGAACGTCAGTATACATAGTAACTTGAAGATCCAGACCCCCCCGTATCTGCCCCTCTGACCACTACCGGTGTGATGATCGCTGAAGTCCAGACGCCGAGACTCCGAATCTCGGAATTTCCGAAAACACAATCGAAGGAATGCCCGAGACCCTAGCAAAGATGAGCGAATCCATACAGTAGGAACGAATCTCGTGTCGTATGACAGGAGCCTCGGCTAGGAACATGTTTGGCGGAACAGTGCATTGAGACTTTCGCCTCTCTCCTGTATGTCTACAGGACACAATCCTGGATGGTATATTTCAAAATGCCAGCGAGATAGGAGTAGGGATTTTGAGCGAGCATTTCGTCGCTACTAGGATCACACTAACTCAGGGCTTTGGGTTTCTAACGCTGCCTCATGGTGACCGTCTTCCACCTTGTCAACCCTGTATGTCTTCCTCTGTGAAGATAGGGGGTCCACCGGGTCAAGTTCTCGAATCTCAAGTAAGTTTGGTCCACGTGATCCCGAGGTGAAGTCAAAGCTCTTTTGTCAAACGCCCCGCTCGCTCACCCTCCATATGACCCCGTTGCTCATGTCTCTGAGACGGTCACGGTTTTTTCTTTGATGTGTGTCTAAGTGAGCTCTCTTTTATGGCGTACGAAAAGCCACTGAGCACCTGTGACTCTTGCCGACGTCGCAAAGTTCGCTGCATTAGTGAGAGCTCTGCTTTGCTCTGGTCTTATGCCCACTGATGAGGTTGTAGAGAAACATGCAGAGGACAACACTTGCGCAAATTGCACGGTGAGGCATGCTTTCCTCCGCTGCACTCCAATGTGTGTACTTACATTGTCTCTACCAGGAGCGTGGAGACGAGTGCCACTTCTCACCCGTCAAAAGACGCAAGACCCGCTCCAACCCAGTTACCAGTCCATCAGTCACCACGCGACCGGATCTAGACGACACAAATGCGTATCGCTCAACCCTTAGTACAGATCCTGAGGTGACGGCTGGCGACTCTCGACAAGACCTGTCGCAGCAAGTTTGTGCCGAAACGGACACCGCCCCCACCGACGCAGGACAAGGGGTGTCATTCCAGGTTGGTACACTACGAGTGCGATATCGTGGCTTGGGTAATGACGTTTCGAATAGCGGAGTAATGCCTACAGTATGAATGGAATTTGTGACCTCCAGGAGATAGGGTTCAATTGAGTCTGACGCCTGGATAGTCTCGAGCTGCGGACTTGCTTTCTTTTCCGACAACAGCCTCACAGCCTTGGCCGACCGACTGGGACATGATCGAACGAGAGAGATTGTCGTCAAGATGCAGGAGAATTCCAGAGCTCGCCAGAGTGCTCCGTTGAATATCTTCACGCAGACCCGATCTGACTACACTCGTGTTCTCAACTCATACTCGCCACAGTGCAGGGCAACTTATGTTAAATGTGAGGAAAACCTCAGTCGGCCACCTCTTTGCAACCAGGCTCTAACCCTCCCTGACCAGCTTACTTCAGTGACCTACATCCGGTTTACCCCTTTCTCGAGCAATCGAGATTCGAATCCATGGCCTTCGGTGCACAGCTGGAGGAGATTCTCCAAACAAACCACGCGTGGGCAGCGCTGTATTACTCCGTCCTCAGCCTAGGAAGTCTTTTGCATGAGGGAGCATCGTTCGAACCTATGGGCGGACCGGCTTGGAAAATCTTTGGCTTTGCCCTCAGATTATTCCCAACCCTCCTCTTTGCCAAAAAATCTCTTCTGGTTGCTCAGGTAAGTTCTCACATGTGGTGCATTGGAACCGATCGTGGCTGAAATTGAGCAGGCAATAACCGCAATGGTATGAAATTGGGAATGATCCTTGCCTAGCATTCTGTACACTCATAATGATGAACCCAAAGGCATTGTTCGCATTAAATCACTCGAGTTGGCCCGTCGAAGAGCTCTTGATCACGGAGGCTGCACGCATCGCCATCGCGCTCCAGCTGAACAAGCTTTCACATAATCTTCAGAATAGTCCCGAGCGAGAACGGACATTCTGGGTCATTTACTGTCTCGAAAAGGAATACTCTTTCCACTCAACGCAGTCCTCGGTAGATTTCCTGACTTGTACTGGTCCTATTTCGCTCTGATAACGCTGACTATTGCTTTCTTAGGTGTTTAATGATGCTGATATTAGCTGCCCCCTTCCAGAACCCATTCTGGATAGCACAGATGGTATAGACTGGCAGCAAATTCAGGTTGGCTTCTGCAGAATCCTGTCCTACTCGTACAATCAACTGTTCGCATGCGGCATGCCTTCGCGTAGCGAAGACTTCTATTCTACCGAGATTGACCAGATCCGATGCCGACTTCAACACTGGGTGGCTTCTGTGCCGGAAAGGTTTCGACCAGGGACCGTAATTCGATCGAGGAATTTTACCAAGCCACATCACAACTACGCCCTCCTCCAGGTACATTTCCTCTACTATTCTCTCCAAATTGCGTTATCGAGGCTCCTCGTCCACGTTTACGCCGATCGCCGTTGCGCTCCCGTGGCTGAGAGCAAATTGACCTTGATGAACTCTGCGCGAGCTATCATTGAAACTCTTCAATTCGTTCCGCCAGAGGCTTCGCTACCCATGAAGTAAGTCGTTCGAGCTGGCCCCTTTCCTTTTCGTTCGTCTCCGTGAACACTGACGAGAGTAGCATTATTGGCCTGGCACCTATCGTGGCTAATTTCATCCTCTTTGACCTTGTCGTCTATAACCCGGAGCATTCTGAGACCAAACTGAATCTGATGTATCTCGAGATCGTGACTGGGTTTCTCCGCCGTATCGGTCTCAATTCCAGTAACCCAATGCCAAGTTCTTCTTTCGCGGAACTCGGGGTTATCGCTCGCGACTTCGTGGCGCGAAAGGCCGGCCGTGGTGAAGGACGTCAGGACGCTCAAGGCAATCGAGCGGCTCCATCCACGGGGGCACCGGTGGCCCACTGTGAACGGAATGCCGCTTCCTCCGAAGTCATGGGTCATGGACGACCTCGTAACGGCATGGCGATTCCAGCCTCTGTCGTCACTCAGGTATACTGCTTTTGCCCCTTCCCCTGGCGCCGGTTGAGCGATGTTTATCAGTCAATTGTGAGGCTAACTTGCGCCTAGCCTGCGGATATCGCAGACCGCGGTCAAATGGGCTTATGGGACGGTCTTGAAGAGACACTTCGCTACCCAGTCATGGACCATATCGCAGATTTGGATGGGTTTGGCGACGACTTTGCTATCCGCGAGCTGTTCGGCCAACACTCGACATTTGATATCGACATTTTGAGCCAATGAGCATGATGTAGCGGTAGGAAACTATTGACAGTCACGCACCATTGCCTCTGTTCGCGCAATGGCTGTGCAGATATCATGGAGACCAAGCTGAAGCAGAAAAGATGGAAGGGAAAAATAATAATCCGGGCGGCGGATACTCGGGGTCGGGCCTGTCCCCCTATTGTCCGAAAGAGGTTAGAGGATCCGCCGCTGCAGGGTCCAATCGGCGCCGCTGTTTGCGAGTCTCGTAGAAATTTTGAATCGCAGTATCGGAAGCAGGTCCATCCTTCGCGTTTTCTTGACTTGCTTCACCATCTACAGTCTTTCTCTTCTGACTCTAGTTCTCTTGTGTTTCTTGCGGAGGTGTGCTGTTGCTCCTTTCCCCTTCCTGTGTTTGTTCTCAACTTTCCTCCGCCATCATGTATGGCGCAGCACGACATGGGCGACATGTCCTGAGAACGCTTCGGACCTTTCCTTCTACCTCGATCTCCTCTACCCGGACGCATTTCGTTCCTTCAAGTTCGCGGAATATTGTCGCCAGACCTCTCGGTGTCAGGCCCTTTTCATGGACGGTCCATAGATGCCAACAAGCCCTCGCTGAAGACCATGCTCGTGCGGAAGATTTTGGCGCAGAGGACATCTCTGCGGTCAACCGAGAGTTCACAAAATTTTCGGACCTAGGAGATGCAGACGTTATTGATAAGAGGATCATCGACACCCTGGTCAACAAGATGGGCATCCACACAATGACAGAAGTCCAAAGAATGACCATCAACGAATGTTTGGATGGCACAGATGTCATTGCCCAAGCACGTACCGGAACTGGCAAGACATTGGCTTTTCTGATGCCGATCGTGCAACGCATGCTCAGGGAACCCGAATTCGGTCGTCGACAACCCGCAATCGGAGACACAAGGGCCCTGATCATCTCTCCCACCCGTGAGTTGGCCGAGCAAATTGGAGAAGAGGCAAAGAAGATCGTCAGAGGCACGGGCGTCCAAGTACAATTGGCTGTCGGAGGTACTCAGAAACAATACCACCTTAAACTTATGCAACGGCAGGGCTGCCACATTCTTGTTGGCACTCCAGGAAGAGTGAAGGATCTGTTGTCCGACCCCTACAATGGCCTTAGCCTAGAAAACATCCAGACTTTTGTGTTGGATGAGGCTGATCGGCTCCTTGATATTGGATTTGCGGAAGAGATCAGAGAGATCCAGAGTTTCATGCCCAAACATACCCGCCAACATCGTCAAACCCTCATGTTTTCCGCCACCATGCCACGAACTGTGGTTGGTCTGGTCAGAGAGACCATGAAGCCGGACTTCAAATTTGTCAGGACTGTTGACCCAGATGACGCTGCTACACACGAGTCCGTGCCGCAGCACATTGTATTCCTGCCGGGACTGCAGAATCAGATCCCAACATTGACCGAGATTGCCTGGAACGCTATGGAGGCTCATAAGAGAGACCCAGAAAACAACATGCCTTTCAAAGCAATCGCCTTTTTCAGGTCGCTAAATGAGGTCAAAATAGCATTCGAAACCATGAGAAACTTGCGCGACCCATCGACAAGAGGAGGAATGTTTGCCCCTCACCCACTCGCTCCCTGCAAGATCATTGAGATGTCATCCCAATTAGATCAGCGGCAAAGAAGTGCAAATTCGCAAGCATTCCGGAACGCCGACTGCGCACTGATGATCTCGTCGGATGTCACAGCACGAGGGATGGACTTCCCCAACGTGTCGCATGTCATTCAAGTGGGCGCACCTCATAGAAGAGAAGACTACGTCCACCGTCTGGGCCGGACTGGCCGTGCGGGCAAACCTGGTCAAGGCTGGCTTCTCCTACAAAACGATGAGAGGAATGATTACAGACAACTCGCCAACAGCATCCACGCCCACAATATTTACGAAGATACCAGCCTGGACACGGCAAAACTGGACATGACCCAGCCCACGCAACTGTCACCACAAACCGCCAAGATTATGCAAATGGTGGAGTCAGGCGTCAGGCAAGTTTCCAGGCTTGACAAGGCAAAGGCATACCAGAGCTTGTTGTCCGTGCTCAACCAGTCTGGCAATTCCTCGAGACAAGAGATCGTCAACCAAGTGAACGAGCTTGCGACGTATGGATGGGGGCTTGATTCACCACCTTCCGTGACGAGAAGCTGGGCTGACAAGATAGGGTTCGGTGGTGTCCAAGGCCTCACTTTCCGAGAGGAGAGTGGACATGGTGGTTCGTTTGGTGGTGGTGCGAGACCGCGGTCGGGAGGACGCCGTGACAGGTATGACGAACGCGATCCCTTCGGACAAGGTGCCTCCGGCTCTGGGAGGGGAACATTCGGGCAAGACAACTCATCATTCAACGACCGTGGTGACCGTGGTCGGGGCAGACCCGGCGGTGATCGAAGGTTCCGTTAAGAGGTCTTTTGGACTGGATGACTGACTCAATGCCCTGAGAGGAGTTGTTGAAGCAACATTCCTTGCCGGCCATGAGACCTGACTCTACGGCTCGAAGCGAGTCTGCTTGAGCGCGGATTCTGGGTGGCTTGCTTCAAGTCCATCCACTGTTTTACTACAAAGGCACCGATTGACGGGACTGCGAAGTTAGCTGTCCTTCAGCATCGGAGACCTGCGGCGTCCTCCCACCACTGGTGCAGCTCCAGCTCTCACGAACCTCAAGCAGAGCGTCAGTTCTTCGTTTTAAGTGGGCCATTGATCATCATTTGCATGACGATGGCACTCTAATGGATTTGAAAGAGGCGGTGTTGTACATATAGTGAGAAGGGACAACAATCTTGACGAGGTTCCATGACCACGGTCGCGCATCTACTCCGCATCGTTATTTTCCGCATGCTTGAAGCAACTCATCTCCCGATAGCCAGCTCGTTGTGGTGATCGCTACGAATCACAGCTGGAGTTGGTCTACTCGTCTGGCAATCATCAACTTCCCTCACAAGCGCCGGCGCTCTTACGGCCTATCGACTTCTATTGTGTGTTTGAGTACATGGTGCGGTTGAGATCTTGTACATATACATAGACGGATGGATACCCCCTTTCTCTTGTGTGTATCATTATGCGTGTTTAACTTGGTCCTTGTCCAATCCAACACTACGAACAAGGGCTTGGGTTGGCACTGTTTGGGCGTGCCATTCCTTTGCATTTGCAAAATTCGGCATGGCGATAGCTGCCGGAGTTTAATTATACGTGGTTTGGCGCCAGGGTGGACGGAAGACGGGATTTGCGATAATCGCCAGTGGTTATGATGAAAATGCAGAGGGGAGATGAGAGGCGCAGCTGCATTAGACTCGAAAATGGAAAGAATCTCCTCTACAACTCTACAAGAGTTAGAAACCCATGAATTTGAAATATGGACCGGCCCCCGATTCGCATCGTTCCCCCCGTGCGTTTCAAGCATGTATCTATCGGAGTCAACACGTTGGGTTCTGGCCAACAAGCTGTGTCCTTGCCTCAGCGTGATCAAGCCTCGGTTTTTCATCGTTTTCAGGAACTAACATAATAGCCTTCAGGTGTTAGTGACGTGAGAGAACGTCCCATCTCACTTCCGGTGGCGAACAGGCAGCCAGCGGGGATTCTGGCTCATCAAGAAGCCTTTTGATTTGTTATTTTGCAAGGCTGCATATGCCTCTACTTCTGGACCCTTTGACCAGGCCGCATTCTCTGCTCTTCCCATCTCTGAGCTACGCCCTCTGTCTGGTCATGAGAGAGAAAAGGTGAAGAAGAGAGTCCGAGTCCCCAAGAGGTGAAAATGCGGGCTAATGTGAGCTCCGCCACTGCTGCATCTCCTGCTCGTTGATCTCGCGCAGGTCGTTGACGTTGGCGACCTCGCCCGTGACGGCGCCCTTGACCATCTCGACGCCGCGGCCGAGCATGGTGCCCTTGGGCAGCGCGTAGGTGGCGGTCAGGGCCTGGAGCCGGATGACGCCGATGCGCGGGTCGTTCTCGCCGCCGTCGTGCACGCCGTCGCCCAGGTCGCCGAGCCAGGTCCGCAGCGTCGGCGTGTAGTACTTCTTGACCGTGTCGCGGTCGCGGAGGATGCTGGCCGTGCCCGAGATCGAGGCCCAGCTTCCCGACGAGGTCAGGAAGGCCATGTTGACGTGCTCGTCCGACGAGAGGTCCGAGGTCTTGCCCGACGAGGTGTTGGTGTGGAAGAGGAGGTCGACGCCGCCGGATTCCTGCGGGGGAAGAGAGGAGCGTGGTTAGCGATGGCCACTGCGATTCTTTGCTTCATGGCTTGTCTTCGCTTGTCTTGGTGGATGCCTGCGGTGCGGATCTTGAGGGAGAGAGAAAGAGAGAGTTGGGAGCTAGAACGGCTGGTGTGTGAGGGACATACCTGAGCAGCCAGAGCCATGCATCTCGAGACTAACAGACCGGAATCCGCGATGCGTGTGGTCATCATGCCGAACTTGCAGGATCTGACAAAGTCATTGAGCGCGTTGACCTTCTCTTCGAGGCCTGGCTCGTCTTTGTTCTTGGCCTTGTACCTGTGTTTTTGCCACGGACCCGAGTCAGCTTCTTTTGTTTCCCTTCCAGGACATGTGCAGGCGTGATTGAACACGAAGGGATCGGGGTAGGAGAGAGCGTTCCTCGAGACGACAGAGCTAGGATGGGGGAGGAGAGGCGAAGAATGGGACAGCGACATACGGATCGGATGCCATTTTGGGAGGATGGGCGGGGTCTCTGATATCAAGAGTTAAGTGTGCACTCTGTAAAGGGAGTTTGGGCTTGTTATATGGTCTGAAGAATGGATTGCAAGCAAACAGAAGATGAAAGAAATCAAAAAGGTAGAGAGGCACCGGAGGAAATAGAAGTAGGTACTTCGCGTGAGAGTGACGTCGATGAGGGTAAGGCAAGAAACGGTGCTCCGCAACCGCGTTCAACCATTGGGAACCTGCTGGGCAGAGAGAGTTTGTCACTCATTCACAATGTGGGGTTAGAGAAGACATGAGATGATCGATGAGAGATGAGACGATGATCCAAGGAACATGTGTGCGTCACTCGTGGATGGCGATGCCGGTGATGCTGCCAAGCGCTTTGACAGTCTCCTCTTTGTGCTGGCCACTTGGGAGGCTGCCATTCTACAGTGTGCGTCCCTGTCGACTTGGGGATTCTGCTATGGAGATTGTTGGATATGTCTCTCATCAGTGTTGCTTGGTGTTTGTAGAGATGTCGTTTGTTGGGATCGACGAGGCTGCATCGATCCATGGATCCAACATCCAGCCAATGACGTCAGCATGTCGGACTTGGGCTTCCCCCGCGAGGCTACAGTCCAGCACATGCTACCGAAACGTTTGCAACAAGAGACCTTCAGTCTTCACGACCTTGATCCAGAGTTTCGTGACGAGAGGGTATATCTCATTGGAAGACCTGGCTGTAAATCTGGCAGCGTTGTCGTTCGGTAGATCGAGTGGGCACGAGATTTCTCGTTAGTCGTAGCCTCGAGCAATGGTGATCTTGACGCCAATGTACGGTTCGCGCAGTGGCCTGTATTGTGCTCCGTTGTGCCAGTCCTTCAATGTCTTTTCTGGCATTTTGGAAGGATAAATCCCTCTACCAGACCTGGAATGGCCATCATAGAGCTAGCTACCTCGAACCGTTCACCGCTGGTGTGAAATGGTCCTCTCGCAGAAACACCGCTGGTCGGAATCATGTTGTATCCCGATCTCAATATAAGGAGGTGCATGCAATTGTGGGTAAGCGGACAGTCGGTTGATCAAACAACCATCCTGTCATGTCGGGACCAACTCGGGGACCGCATCAAAGACGAGACCGAATCTTTGCTAACAGCTCCATCCGTTTGTACATAGCTGGCTCGAAGCAGGCTGTTGATGGTACCATCGAAGGTGAGGCGTTGAGCAAGTCGAGAAGTCGTCGAGGAAGCACTTGCTCCGCGTTACAATCGTGGCGAGGTCTGGTTTGTCGTGAAAATGGCATCTGATGAATGCTTCCATTCCATCCAAGTCAAGAGATGATCCCCAGTCGCCCCTCCCACTCATCCTCTTTCTTGACACCCTTCTCTTCCTTGGCCGCTCTCCTCTTTTCGTTTCTCTTTCTTCTCTTCTCTTCTCTCTCCGCCGCGTCGATCTCTTCAGCCCTTTTGATCCTCGCCTGGATATCGACCTCGCCCAACATCTTCGCCTCTTCCTCCTGCTGTCTCTTCCGTGCCTTGAGCATTTCTAACCTTTCCCGCACATCCTGCAACGTTGCTCTTTTCACCTGCCCCGACTGGCCCGTGTTGATCAGGTGCTGCTTCGAATTCAAATGTTCAATGTACTGCACATTATCCTTGTATGTCAGGTCACAGGCTTCGCAGTAAAACCCTGCGCCCTTCCCTCTCTTGCCGATTCCCGCACCGGCCGGGACAATGGTACTCTTTCCGACCATGCTCGCCACGTCCAATCTTGAGCCACGCGCAGTCGTAGAGTCCAAGGACGAGAAGTCCACGGGTTTGTGCCATTTTTTCCCTTCGAGTTTAGCTTCATAGCGCGCTTTGGCTTCCTCGCGACGTTCTTCTTGTTCCTTTTTGGCCTTTGCTTCGTATTCGGCGCGGTCCCAGGTGCGGCGGAAGTCGGTATCGGAGGCTGCGGCGGTGCCGTACGCGGACTTGCGTTCGGCCATAATGGTGCACCTTCGATTAACGAAAGGAGATGCCTGCGGGAGGTGCAGATATCGTGTGGTTGAAAGAAAGCGGGCAGTTTGAAGGCCAGGAAAAGGGAGATGCGGAGAAACCCAAGATCCGAAATTCAGAGCCTGTGGCTAATTACATCGGTTGGAGGACATTTCCGCGTGGAGGGCTTTGATAGCGGCAAACACCAAGAAACGGGCTTTTCGCAAAACAGACTTACGTAGCTATTGACGTGCAGCTATAACGCAGAGCTGTCACAAGAGCTCAACAACGACTCTCAGAAGAGACATCGATTGTGGTATGAATTCATTTTGCATTGCTTGACGGACGCCGTGCTATCTTGTCCAATTCACCGAGAGATCAAGGCCGAACAGTCAACATGGGCTAGAAGTCCCGCCGCGCGAGTTCTCAGGTCCATGCCACCAACCTCTCTGCAACTACCGCCAGCAACAACACTGTTGAGATCATTTGGAACAGAACTTCCAATGCACTATGTAAGATGTTCCTGGCGGAACAGCCTGCTGCCAACGTGTGTTGATGAGTGCTTGGACGTTCCATCCATTGTTGTCTTCTTTTGCCGTCGAAGGATTTCCCAAGCTGTACTCAAACTCGCTTCTGCGCAATTTTACCACCTTTGGGTTCTGACTCTCCTCACGGGCTGACATCAGACGCAGTAGATGTACTGCAAGTTGAGCTGCTTCAACGGATCCGGATTGTCGGTGATGGCATATCCAATTTCGATGGGCATGTTCATGTTGGTCTCTGGACTATCGTCGATATTCAAGACCTGCAACTGAGCCAGGAACGAGTTCTGATTGCCGGGGAAGTCCGACCCTCCTTTGACAATGAACTTGATGTCGCGGTAACCGTACCCCTCGGCGCTGACCGGCTCGGGAGTGTCAGGACAGAGGTATACGAAATTGACGTCCTTGCTGATGGTCTGAGGGACGGACGACGAGGGCAAGGTGACGTAGTTGTACAAAGCGTTGCAGGAGGTGCTGGTGTCGCCGACAGAGCCACGAGACTTGACGTTGATGTTGACTTCCCAGGTCATTCCGCATGGTGGACCGACTGGATTGGGACTGATGTTGAAGGTGAGATAGTCGGTGAGGGCAGCTGAGCCAGAGGTTTCGTTACGTGCGATCAGGTCGACGGCAGTTTCCGCACCGGTGAGAGAGGAGGGAATTGCGGTGGCATTGGCGACGGCCAGCAAGAAAAGGAGAATGGGGAGCAAGATGAGTTCCATGTTGACGAGAAGTTCAGAGGACGTCTAGCAGCGAGCAATTGTTGTGCAGAGAAGCGTTTGACCTAGCGAAAGAATTGTGTGTGTTGCTTTCCAAAGACGAGAGCCGAATTCTAGACGTTCTTTTATACCTGCGACCTGTCTATGTAGACTGAGAGTGAATTTCTCGAGTGACATTTTTGCAGGCGAAGGTGACACCGAGTACTTCACATGCTCACCGTGAATCTTCACCAAAGTGTCCTTTAGACGTTAGTCAGGCCGGATGGCAATATCTAGCCAGGATGCGCCTTCATATCCTTCTTCCCTGGCCTTCTAAGGTGAGGTCTAGCTATAGACCGAAGTCGTAGGTTGTCGTCTACGTGAGATCGCCGCCTAGAGAGTCCATCATAATCTTTGAAGGCCTGCTGCAGAAGCCAGACAATGTCATTCTAATATATGTGATGAGCTACTGATCCAGAGTCTTTTGGGCTATGAGAAGTGAGGTGTGACAAGCATCTTGCACTAGGTGAGAGTCTTCAGCAACAGCAAACATTGAAGCAAGAAGACTTTGCCAGCGTTGAGCACAGACAGTTAGAACTGAGAGATATGAGAAGAACTTGAGCACCTGGTTCACTAGAGACGCCTGCCTAGGAGATGAGAGAATGGTTGGTGTCACTCCAACTAGGGATGGACCTCGACTACCTGTGCCTACCTGAGGCACAAACACAAGTAAAATGAGTCTAAAGCGAGGTGAATCTTCAACCGCGTACCCAGCTCGCCAGATCCACCTGGTGCCACTCAATCGGGTGCCTGTGGCTAACCACCAACTTCCTGGGACTCGGCTATCACGCATAAGTGAGGTCAAGCGTCAAAGGCGTCACAAGTGACTAGAACTAGCGGGAGTCTCCGCATCTGCCAGGCACTGCGGAGAAGATCAAAAGGTTGGAGATATTTTTCTTTTCTTCGAGATCAACTCACCCGTTCCTGGAATTTCCATTGCGGCTTGACAAGCACAAGAACAAGATGGCGCCGAAAACCTCGCCGTTCGATCTCTCCAAATGCGCGAGGCCCAACATCCTCAAGTTGCAGCCTTATAGGTGTGCGCGAGAGTAAGTCTGTCCTGGCGCATTGCTGGTCCTCGACTGACTCACCTGTCTAGTGACTACAAAGACGACGGCACCAACATCCTCCTTGACGCGAACGAGAATGCCTATGGTCCTGGGCTGGCTCTTGAAGAGAATGGGGTACATGGCAAAAATGACAAGACAACGGTCAACTTTCTGGGTCTGAACAGATATCCTGATCCACACCAACTGGAGCTGAAGGAACTGTTCTGTCGCCTGCGAAACACACATACCCATACAGACAAACAATTGAAACCAGAGAATATGTTCTGTGGAGTCGGCTCGGATGAAGCCATCGACGCGCTGTTGCGCTGCTTCTGTGTGCCTGGAAAAGACAAGATCCTGACCTGCCCTCCCACATACGGCATGTACGCAGTCAGCGCAGACGTCAATGATGTTGAGATCGTCCAGGTGCCCCTCAACCCTGAGAATGGCTTCTCACTGCAGCCCCAACAAATCCTGGACAAACTCTCCTCCGATCCCTCCATCAAGATGGTGTACATTTGCTCTCCTGGAAACCCCACCGCCAGCCTCATTCCCAAGGAAGACATTCAACAAATATTAGAGCATCCGACGTGGAACGGCATTGTCATCGTTGACGAAGCATACATTGATTTCTCACCTGATGGATCGAGCCTGGCGGAATGGGTGTTGGAGTGGCCGAACCTGGTGGTGTGTCAAACATTGAGCAAGGCATTTGGCTTAGCCGGCATACGCCTAGGAGTGGTCTTCAGCAGTCGTGAGATTGCAGCGCTGCTCAACAACATGAAGGCACCCTATAACATCTCCAGTCCAACCAGTGCCATCGCCATAGCAGCCTTGCAAGAAGAGAACCTTGCGGTCATGCGCCAATACCGCGAGAAGATCATCCAGCAACGAGATAGACTCCTTCGAGAACTTCCACGCATTCCAGGTATTGGCCGTTTCCGAGGAGGGTCCGCTTCGAACTTCCTGCTGGTCGAGATTTTGGACAGACCCCGGGAAGAGGGCGGACAGCCAGACAATGTGACGGCTTTGAATGTTTACGAGACCATGGCGGGGCAACGCGGCGTCGTGGTCCGTTTCCGGGGAAAGGAGTACGGGTGCAAGGGGTGTCTGAGGATCACAGTGGGCACCGAGCAGGAGGTGGATCGTTTCCTAGAGGAACTCAGATCTGTCTTGGGTCACATTTACTCGGCTTCGTCGCAGGGCTCAAAGGTCAATGGAATCGGCAAGGAGAATCAGAGTGAGGGGGAACGCGAGGTGGCGGCCAACAGTGTGATATCATAAGGGTCACGGCTCCTCCCTAGTGGGTGCCTAGGCCCTGTCTAGGGCTGTGAGGCTTGTCTAGGGGGGGTGCGTCTGGTGCGGTGGTGCCTAGGAGTAGAGTGGAGGCTGCTTAGACTTTTCTTTTTGGCAGATCCCATGGCTAAAAGTCCCATGAGCGGAAGGGGCCTTTTCCCCCAATGGCGTTGCCTAAACTTTCATGGCTATCCCCAAAACTGATAGAAAGCAACAACACCTGGTTCTCCATGATCCTGTCACATTCTGCCAACACATCGCTCTCGATTCCTTCACGGTCGTCCAATCCAACACCACGTCGCTTCGCCTCTCTCACTCACACAAACTCATACACTTGCAGACCTGCTCCGATTTGCCTTGCAGCCTGGCCCTCGAAGGTATTGCGCAGGAACACGGAACCGACCCCCCCAAAGCTGTCGTCCCGAACTTCTTGCCTTTTGTACGCCTTACGATAGGCCACAACTTGCTCACAATTCTGATGCCCTATGCCAGTCACCGAGCGAATGATGGACGTGCTATGAAGAGATACAGCCACCGCAGCCACCAACCTGCCACATCCTGCACCTTGATCGCATCATCCTCCCTGCATCTGCATCTAGTCACTTCCTCTTCCTCCGTTTCGAGCCTCCGAAATACTGTCCTTCCCTCTCGATAACCGCTCTCTTGTCCTCCTTTCGTCAGTTTCCGGCTGCGGTTGAATCGTCAACAAGTCTGGCCAACTCACAGCTTGGTCACCCGGCCTTCACTTTCGCTGCCCGATCTGCAGAGGATACACAGACACTGTCGACTCCTCCTTGCGAAACCATGTTGATTGAGCTGAAGAGAAGGCAATTGGTCGTCGCATCACATTTTTGAGGGACTCTCAGCCTAAGGGTGTTGGTGAATCATGGTCAAGGCTGATGTCAAGCGGGACTACTATGCGGACTTGGAGCTCCCCCCTACCGCTGATGCAGAAGAGATCAAAAAGCAGTTCAGACTTCTAGGTAAGAGACAGAGCGGCGCGAATACCTGAACTGGACTCACAGCGCAACAGCGAAACAATATCATCCGGACCGAAACCCCGGTCATGAAGTCGAGGTCGTCCCCAAGTTCCAAGCTGTCCAAGCCGCCCATGAAATTCTGAGCGACCCTGTAGAGAAGGCCAGATATGACGCTGGTCGGGCGAAATTGGCTGCTAAGACCGCCGCCACTGCTTCAACAGCATATGCCTCCGATCCCTACGGTTTTCCAAGACCAAATACTGCCAAAGCGACTCCTACAGCAAAACAACAATTCCCCTTTCCTCCACCTCCTAAGTCGGCACAAAGTCGTGCGCCGTTTGGTGCGGCAAATCAGAAGCAACAGGCTTCTTCTGGTGCCGACAAATTTAATGCATTCACTCGAGGTGTACCACAATCATGGGATCGATCGAAATTCGACGAGGCTCGGGCAGAGGCCGCAAGAGTTTTCCCTACCATGAGACCTACATCTTCCGCTCAACAAATGCCTCCGCGGTCGACACCCAGGCAGGCCCCTACTGCTCCCAAACCCCCTTCCAGCTCAGAAATGCCATACGTCCCGAACATACCGCCCACGGGTTTCCCGGGTTTATCTAGGACGGCAAGTTCGAGGAAATCAGACTACCACGGGGCAGATGCGTCGCAATTTCCCCGTTCGGCCTTCTCTTACGTTCAAGGAACGCGTGGACAACCGGCACCGAATCCACATATCCATATCCCAGACAATCAGTCTATGCGATCGCCTCCCGTTTCGAGAGCTAGGCCTGCGGTCAGCCCTCTACGGCATGCCCGCTCTTCCGATTACGACATGAGGAACGATCTTGGAGGTCGTCCGCCGTCAAGATATGCTGGAGCTGGCGGGGAACGAACAGACATTAACGGAGACGGCCTACACCGTTCGTCCAGCGTCCGTAATTCACCGATCGATGATCGAGGACCTTTTGGCAGGCCCTCAACTCGCTACGAGAGTATTCCACGTCATCGGAGTGCTAGTCCCGGGATGCGGAAAGCAGGAATACATGCAGATTTCTCCGAGACTTCGTCTAGTGAGGAAGAACCGCTGCATATGAATTCCAGACCGAAGGCTGTCCCTCGGAGCCGACCACAAGCCAGAACAGGACCCAGTTTCGATGCAGAGAACAACCCGGGTTTGACGGGCCAATTCCCCAGTACTAACTATACCAGAATCGTCGATGACAGCCGTTACCAGTATCCTCCGCCCGAAGCGAAAGAACCTACGCGCAAACCCTTCCCAAGCATGGCGTCCCCAGATGTCGAGGCACCGAAGCCTAATGTGTTTCGTGATGACGGAGGAGGTTTGGACAAACCCAAGTATGCTCCCTTTTTCTTGGATTCCCGCACATGGTCCCGAGGAAATAGACGTGATGGCCCTACTCAGAGAGGATATTCCTTCAACGGCTTTCCGTCGTGGGCAGTTCCTTCGAGTGTTTTTCCGCAGACCACACCTCCCCGGTCTCATAGACAGAACGGTGACACCCTCAAGGCAGGAGGCGGTCTTGATTTCATTCAGTCTTGGAGCAATAACACTAACCCAACTGTCAGTAATGACTCGGTCCACCCGAAAGCCCAGACAACATTTTCGGCGGCGGATTGGCACGACAAAGTGACAGCAGAAGACATCTTCCGCCCGGATGAGTCTCAAACGCGCAAGTCCTCTCCTTCGAAGCTGAACCGAACCGGAAGTAAACCAACGTCACGAGGAAGAGCACAGTCACGGTCGGCAGATCAAGAACCACCCTCTGCGTCCGAGGTTCCTAACGGTCATGGAGGAGACAAGTCAACGGCATTCCAACCAGGAAAGTTGGCTGATGACTGGGCTGCCAGAGCTTCCGCGAGACCAACTCCTCGCAATCCGAGAGCAAGCCCCGGATCTGACACAACGGACGACTCTAGAGATCGCTACATCGTGGTGGAAGAAGATGCAATGGATGTCGACACGCCTCCCACCAATAATGCTAAAGCCCCTACGTCGAATGGCATCAAATACCCAGTCAGTACGGGACCGCCCCGTCCCGAACCGAAACGCCGGTCGACAAATGGAGGAGTGGACTTGAAGGAATTCGCCCAGCAAGCTCCATTTGCGCCGACGTCGACCGGGCTCAAAGGTATGAAAGACGACCTCGAAACATTCCTTCCATTTGAGTCACGTGCGTCAAACGACGTCAACCTCAACCGTACGACGTCGGCACGGATCCGGGCTTTGAATCTCCCGAAACCGCCCAAAGTCGTTATCCCGCCGGCTGAAGATCGATTGGATAAGACCAATTTTGCGCAATACGTCGAAAATATGGAGAACTACATGCACGAGTGGAACAAGTTCAATGCGAGGATGATCGAGCATTTCCGATCCAGGCAGGATCGCGTGTGCGGCACGATGAGCCCGCACTGGATTGCGCAGCCGAGCGACGGGCCAGATGCCGATGCTTTGGATGCGGATGGCAGTGGCGACAAAAAGGCAGGATATGGCGCGTACGTGCAGTGGCTGAAAGACGACGTGCAGTGTCGGCATTGGTGGGACGAAGCAAACGAAAGGCATTTGGAATGTTTGGAGGACCTGGGAAGAACCAGGCAGGTGGCGAAGCGAAAGTTGCGGCCTTGACCAACATGGCACGGACTCATGGATTCGCTACAGGTCTTTGGAGACGGATATGGCATGAAGTTACGGCGATTGATACCGCTAATCTGATGCCGTGCGTGGCTTTTTGGAGCGAAGGAATCGGGCACAGTGCAGATAAGATACCCTTTTTGTCCCGGCTGCCCCTTTTGCTGGCGTCGGCGATAGTGAGATGGATGAGAAAATCCTTCTGAGATAGTTTCAGGAGACTCTGGATGTTGTATGTATTAGTACCTACAATGCGTCCCTACGGCAACCTCCGAGATGCGCAGTGCTACGGAGCAACATAAGCTTCCTCAAGCATGCCAAGCTTTACATGATTAGCCGGGCAGGGCCTTGTCAGAAGCTTATCTTATCTTAGACTAACTCTTGGGGCTAAACCACATCACCGCAGTTTGACTACGTCGCCAACCTATCGCGGCCGACAATTGGAGCACATCCTGGGTCGAAACTTCCCAGCTCACGGCATCGGATGACAGGTTAAATGTTGGTTGCTCCAGTCAGGCCGCGCAATCCCGCTTGGGGAATGGGTCTGAAACCTGGAATGTGCCAGGAGTTTAAATTGACAGCTCAGCTTCGATTCCAGCTTCAGCTCCCTCCTCCTTCTTATCTCTCGTTCTTCTGATCGAAGTCACCTGTGCATCTCGACACTGCTCTCCTTTCCAAAGACATTCACTCATTTCCACACAGTCCGTGCAAGTCACACGCAGACTCTAGACAGACCATCCAGCATAATGGACGCCGAAACCCAACAACAGAAAATCCAGGCTCCTCCAGCCCAGTCGGGGCCGGACAGTGCCATCTCCCAACAGCCTGTGAGTCGCCGGTTTTATCCGTCATCGAACTCGCATACCTCCCCCAATCAGCCCCGGTGTCCCATTACTACCTTAAGGACTGAACATCAAATTCCTGACCCATTTGCTGACCTCTTTCTACCCAGGCCGCACGTGAATCCATGGACGCCAGCGTTATCACCAACAAAGTGCATCTTCGAGGCGGTGGTGAGGGAGAGGACATTTGCTGTGGCTTGTACGTCTCACTGTTCCGTTTGACTACCGCGGTGACGCCGAGTCTGGCCAGTTTGGTGCTGACAACATTTGCGACAGGTGTGCCGGGTTTTTGTGCTTCGAATGTTGCAAGGATTGCTGCTAGACGGTGACAATACCACAGAGGCAACGGAATCCAGTCTGATGCATGAAGGACAGAGTGCTACGGAGCGATCAGCGACTGATACCCCATAGTCTATCCAGCGAGCCCGTTCTAGTGCTTCGGGCCACTTCAATCAACACATACACTTCAGACCCGTTTCCAAACTTTCTTGGGTCGACTGTGCAGTCTAGGATCACTGGAGCCAGAAGCTCTTCAGCTCCACGCCTACTTGCAAATCTTGCTGCCGCTCCCATTGCTTCCCCCTCGCCTTTGAGTGACAACCCTCTCCTCGTTCTCCCGAAGTTTCGAGTATGTCCTAGTTTCATTTAAACCTCAGAAAGAGTCTTTGCTGAGGCAGGCCCAACTTCTGGCTCGGCCCGTAACTTCGCTAACATGCTAACCTCCCTGTCCTGGCTCCGGCCCTTCGTTCCATGCAGGCGTTTTCAATCGCGCCTTCTAGTCTATACAAACAACATATTAAGGGTCCCACCGTGGACTCCCTCTGCCCAATAACTAGGCTGAGAAGGGTCCCCTCTTCTCGGCTGGAGTCCAGCCCACACGTGGATCGTTAAGCCGCCTCGAGTCTTGTAAGCTTTCCCGTTCCTCTGGAATCTCTGGCTTGGTTTGGGCGAGAAAGCCAATAATCTTGGTAAGAATCCGCCATGGGTGGGTTTGTGACCCCGCCTTTTGCCAAGATGAGTAAAAACTGCTGGCGCCTCACCCAGGACCGGGATGGGGGTGATGGCGCACGGCGAAATGGAGTCATTCCTTGTTGCCCTGCAGATGGGTTGGCAATGAATGGACTGGACACACCCTCCCCTAGTCGCTTACCAAAGGGCATGCCACAAGGCAACCAAAAGTCCCAGCTTCCTGGAGCTCAGCCTCATCTTCGCGAGGGAGCCGGTGTCGCTGCACCTCTCACCGCTCCTGTCCACCTTGTCTCGTTTTCTTCCTCCCTCGTCCAGGTGAGTCTCTTTGACAATCTTGATTTCTTAGACTATTACCCGTCAGCAGACTTGGTAGATCATCAAACATGTACCTCCTTGACACCTCTACTCTACAGCTACATTGGTTCGACGAGCCCTCTCTCCCAGAATATGCAATTCTCTCCCACACGTGGATCGGTAAGGGTGAGGAAGTCACATTCCAGGAGCTACAGAGCTTAAGCGATTCCCTGCAGCGCAAGAACGATAGGGCCCGACGCCGCCGTGGCAAGAACGACCGCAACCGACACATCCGCCGCAAGAAGGGGTATGACAAGATTGTCGCGTTCTGTCGTCTTGCCAAGGGAGATGGATTCCAATATGCTTGGGTTGACACTTGTTGCATCAACAAGGGAAATAGTGCTGAATTGAGTGAAGCAATCAACTCTATGTACGACTGGTACAGAGGGGCAAGGCGTTGCTGCGTCTACCTGAAAGACGTGAAACTAGAGCAAGGCCCAGAGTCTTTTCGTCGCAGCGTGTGGTTTTCTCGAGGTTGGACGTTGCAAGAGCTCATTGCGCCGGCTGTTGTTCGGTTCTATGATCAAAATTGGCGTTTCCTTGGTGATAAGATGAGCTTGTCGGCTGAAATTTCTCTAATCACAGGTATCGACCGTGAGGCTTTGGAAACTGGGAACGTTCGCAAATATTCTGTGGCACAAAAGATGTCGTGGGCAGCACGACGGCACACGACCCGAGTCGAAGACATCGCATACTGTCTGATGGGGCTATTTGATATCAACATGCCACTCATATACGGAGAGCGAGAAAAAGCTTTCAGACGACTTCAAGAAGAGATTATCAGAAATGATGACGATCATACTATCTTTGCATGGTCAATGGATACGAACAAAGTTTCAGGTTTACTTGCTCCATCTCCAGCTTACTTTACCGATTGTGGGCGGACAATATCAGAGCGATCTCCTAAAGGCCGTCAGCCTTTCTCTATCACCAATCGAGGACTATCAATAACACTCAAGATTACACCCTGGGCTGCGGATACGTACTTGGCGTACCTAGAATGTTCTAGGCAGCTGCCGCCTTCAAGCCCTTCGAGTCCATACATATGCATCTTCTTGCGACGCCTGACCGAAGACGACCAGTACGCCCGAGTCAACATTGACGGAAAGAGCACGATGCTGAATGCTAAAGACTGGTATTGGTCCGATAATCGTCCTCAGGTAGAGAGGCAATTGTTTGTCCGCCATCACGTGAATTTGGAAGAGGAAAGTCTGGCCCTCAGAGACCGAATTTATGGCTTCCGCGTTCCTCATGCGCTGCTGCCACCTTCCGCACCTCTCTTGTGCGCCGGGGGTCAGTGGCGTGACGGTCTTGCAATCATGCCAATAGGAGGGTGGGGTCTCGCCATGATTCTGGATGTCTTAGATGAAGGAAAGAATATAAGACGGATCGCACTAGGCTTTGACTTTGACTTCATCCCATTTTGCCTATCAGAAGACTTTTTTCGTGATGGAAATGGCATCCAGCTTCAGCTCGACGACTATCTCGATTGGTGCAATCTGTTCACTGATGATTTTAGGTGGTGCGAAGTGCACGAAGGAGCTAAGGTATATCGTCCAGAACATCATGACGGAATATGGGCATTAAAACACACCCGGCTCTACGGGCTAGACGTCATACTTAAGACTTCGCTGGACAGTGGTGGCCCGATCCTGAAACTGAAGCGCAATCAGATGGATTCTCCGCTGGTTTGGGAGGTGTCGATTGAATGACCCAGCTGGCCCGTTTACATGCGAAACCAGTTACGGATCTCAAGGAGGGAGCAGGCTCTCCGTTCGTCATCTGGCGGGGGCCAGATGAAGCCAGGGAGATATATCAACGAGCATTACTCGAGCGTCAGAAGGTGTTTGGATCGAAGGATGAAAATATTGAGAAACTCATCCTTGACTTTGCCAAGAACAGCGGATTATATGTAGGCTTTCCTATCGCCCAAGATGAGCCGGAGCTCGAAGGCTCGCTTTGCACATGTTACAGTTCACATCTGTCAGTGACCGTATTGCTAGTGTCGCCAAACGCCAAATCGATTCTAGGTAATCTTGTATATCATAAGGATTAGCGCGATGACACCCCGCTTTGACTGGGAAGCCAACGGCCTCAACAGAGCTCGGTTTGAGGCCCTTACAAAACTGCTACGCTTGCGCTATCACGATCAAGTTGAACCTCCGTCTCGGTTCGATGAGCTGCAGCATGATACCATAGCCGAAGGTGATGCCGTCTTTGACGATGTCAACTCCACCATGGCATTGACGCTCACGGATTTCAATCCCGATCACCTGCGGAGGGTCTTTCTTGATAGACTGGCAGAACTAGTGGCTAACCAGAAGGGCGGTCGACACGTCGCCGCTACCATGATGGTTAATGGTCAAGACAAGGTTGATGTCTTCGTTGCTCGAAACGACAAGTTTCGTTCGAAAGACAGGGGATTTCTTGAGCGGACTGAAGCGCTGCTGCGTCTTATTGCACGTGGCGTGGGTTAGTTATGTGCCTTTTGGTCGGACTTCTCTTGAGACCCTCGAAGGGATCTACGCTGACCAAGACGCCGTGCCTCGGGGTCAAAGACGGAGGCAGCCAGCATAGTTCTACACTATGGAAAATCCTCCTTGACCACTACGAGACGAGGATTCAAGGCTACATCGTGGACCTCAGACAGCTTCTCAAACGGTGTTTCCCAACTGAAGCCCCAAACAGCCAGTCTGAAGCCGTAGAATCTCCCATTGTGTCTCATCTTCGCAGACTGCGAGATGCCGCCTTTGCCCATTATCCTTCGGCAACGGCCAGAAACGAGATTTTGGTGACTCAGGCTCACTTTATATACAAGAGCTTCTCGGCCGAAGACTTTGCCGGGCTTCCTTTCTCTGGTGGACAGCACCTTAGAGACTCTCTCGGGTTCCTAGGGAGACTCCAGACCTCGTTTGGCGCCCTTGTCAAAGCCGCGGAAAGACTGCCAGGGTTCGAGAACATTAACATTTCTACTGTCCAGCTTCCGACCCATGGTAACGCTATCGCTAAAAGGGGCGAAGTAGACGTTGGAAGATGGACACTCGCCCAAGTCTTCGAGCATCTAGGACGCACCTTAAGCGACGATGAGGTGCACAGTCTGCTAGGCTTTTCGGGCAAAAAGACTCGGTGGACCAGAAACAAACTGCTCCAGGAATTCGACAGGCTGAAGTCATCGACTTGGGAGATCCACGCCGAAATGCGACTATTGTCGGCCTATACCCGGGCTGTGGCGACTAATGACGCGGTCGTCCAGTATATTGGCTGCAGTAAGGACAGCTGTTTCCTCTGCTGGCACTTTTTGGACCTATTCGCGGGCATCAGAACGAGAGGATGTCATGGGAAGCTGTACCAGCTCTGGGGGCTCCCGGATTTTGAGGGCGCAACCGCCGCGCAGATGGAACGAGTCGTGGCATCGGCGCGAGATGTCGAAGGCTTGGTCGAGCGACAGATACTGGACCGTGATGCCCGGATCTTGAGGAAGGCGAAGGAATCAACTGTTGGCGCGTCGTCGATCAAGACGGCCATCCCGGGCTCTGGAGAGCCGTCGATTGTCAACACGGTCCTAAGGTATCTTGAGAACCAGAGGGCCAGTCTCCTTTTCCCGATAGAAAAAGCAGAGTAGGTACTCTTGCTGATCTACGCCCCAATCATTAGTGACGCACAAACCGCTGACATCGACAGAGAGCCGCAATACGAAGAGGCGGCCGGGAGCTCCGTGGTCGACGAGCCCAACCATAATGCGATACCCATCGCCGGTCCTTGCGGAGACTCTGACTGCGACAAAACTACTACCCGACGATGTTCTCACTGTGGCGGGCCCTGGTTCTGCAGCATTAGGTGCGAGGAAATGGCAGCCTACTCCCATAAGTTTTCCTGCAATCGGCGACCTATCACCACGGCAGATCTTCTCGAGAATGATTGCTTCCGAGACTTGCTCCCGGAGGACCCCCAGGTTCGTGAAGACTATGGGTTCCAGCGCTGCAGAAACCACAGCGAAGAGACGAACCTTTTTGGGGTATACGTTGGGGTTATCAGGTACCATAGCATCTCCAGCGAAGAGTTGCATCGCTGGAGGACAGAGGGCATCCTCGTTGACAAGATCGTAGAGGTGTTCTCCAAGATACCTGAAGGCTCCCGTGGCGGCTACTACCCGTGGCTCCTTCGCAACAGGCACATCCTCGAAGGCGAACAGGGAGGAGTTACCCACGACGAGGACGACGTGGCTAAGTATATCCAAGAGCGATATGCCGAAGCGAGAGCCTATCTCGACCCAGCAGACCAGACGAAGGCGGTCGAGGATCTGACCCCTTTCGCGAAGCAATACTGCTTCTTTTTCTTGGCCTTACTCCTCGACAGTACGTACCAGGGCCCGCAGGCAGCGCACCTAGATCTCTGGTACGATTTCGGCTTCGTCGTCTGCTCCGGCGTGCACGAGGAAAGTGCGCTCTCAAACTACTACCAGTGGCTCCTGCTAGGCAACAAACCTGCAAGAGACCACTTCCGAAGTCTGCGGATGGAGCACCTCGCCCCCCCAGACTTCCCGGCGTGCAGCTTCACCGATTTTTGGAAAGCCTGGGAGGCGGGTTCGCTGATGGAGCTGTTTAGTCGGTATGGCACCTCTCGAGGCGCCGACGGTTACAGTACCACGCTCGATGGCCGGTTTCCTGCGCTGCGAGAGTTCCTGTCGTACCCCGGCAAGAGCCCTCGGCCGTCGGTGTGGAGGCTGAAACACTTCCTCGCGATCGAGGATGCGAACGTTCTGACGATTGCGCCGGAGATCGGGGCTGCGGCGATGGAGTATGGGTTCTACCCGCAGCTTGATACGAGGACGAGGCTGGATCTTCGTGATTTCTATACCCGAGTCTTTTGGCGTGGGATGCTGCCCAGCGAGATGGATGAGGCGAGGAGGAAGAGAAATATGCATGAAATGGCGGACTGGTGGAGTGGCGGTGATGTTAGCGAGAGAGTTAAGCAAGTGTTGAGGGATGTGCCGGATATTTCGAACGCGGTGGAGTAACCAGGACCTTGTATTTGGAACTTGGGACGATTTCTCATCCACATCCCTCTGGCCGATAAACGGCACATCAACTCGAATATATACCGAGGCAGAATATGAAATATCGAGACTGGCGTCGTGAGGCTTCTGTGGGTGCGTGTGGTCAATGCAGAGGCACTCGCGGCTACTCGTTGCCAGCAGAGACTGTGCGTCACTGCGTCTCTGTCTTCAAAAACCATGGCTGGCTTTTTCTACTTCTTCGACTCACTCTCGGATTCTGTCGGAGTAACACCTGACAGAACACATCGCTGCGGTCATGGTGAACTTCAGATGTGGTTCCAACAGCCCTATTTGGACCTGCAGAACCAAGGAGGAGGCCATCCCACCCTCGACAGTCGGACATGGATTTGGATGAACAGACTGTTATTGTCGACGATGGACGCGGTCTCCGTGAGGAATGTCCGTAGGCCAAGGCGGCCTCGAGTGAAGAATCGTGTGAGAGCTTTGAACTGTCAAAACGACATCGTGTGAAGATCTTGGAAGATGAAAGATTCACAGAACAAGGCTTGGCAGGAGCTCGCAACAGTCCCAAAGGGGCTTAGGGGAAAGTAGGTGCCAAGATTTTCATTCGTCCAAAGGCCAATCAGAGACCCCTCTGGCCCCTGCTGTTGACTCCACATTACCCCGTATTCTCTGCCCCTTCAACATGCATTTAATGTCGCATCTAGACCCTTTAACTTGTACGTACCACCACCTACTAGCTCGTCATTTCAATCCTCGTCACACGGCCAAGCGCCCGCCTGCCCGTCTGCCGAGGGGGAAACGTGATCAGGCAAGCCTAGAAACCTCAGTGGCTGGCGCTGTTTCACAAACCATGGAGTTGAAATTCAGCCTCACGCATCCCTGGTGTCTTTCAGGGGGTCGAGACAAATGACCTTAAGTCCTCCTCATCCCCCAAGTGGTGAGGCTGGGACATGAGCTCTCAGATCCAGTTTTGACAACATCTCACAGGAATCATCTGACCCAAGATGAACAGTACAACTGCAATGGAGGCCCGGGTGACACAGCTAGCCCAGGCACTCGCCATGGCCAAGGAAGTGATAGCTTCTGGCAATCTTGATGTCGACAAGGAAATCCACACTCGGGAGGCCTCAGCCCAACTGGCAGAGCTGATTTTTGATGCCACTCGCGATCACTCCCGTCTTTTAGAAGCCCTTCAAGACTATCAGGCCATCGTCCGACTGCTCAAAACGCCATCTCTGCAACGGGCAATGTACCTGGACAAACTGGCATACCTAGAGATGACGCTTTTCAGTGTCACCCGATCCATGAAAGTGCTTGACGACTCTATCGCTCACTCCACACAAGCAAGGGACGATGCGCTGCCCACAAATGATCCCCTTCTCGTCACAATCTTTCAGAATCTCGGGTACAGCGTATTTCACAGAGCTCAGTTGACGGACAACCCCACCGATATTGACCAAGCCATTGAATGTGGCCAAGAGATCCTTCACCGTGCAGCCCCGGACAGCCCAGGATACCGAAGAAACATGGTCAATCTAGGCAGTCGCCTCTTCGCTCGATACAGAATGACTCGCCGAGCCGACGATCTGGACCAGGCCTTGTCCCTCGTCGATAAGCAGCTCGAGATGAATCCACCAGGCTCTAGTGAACATGGGTCCGCATTGCTGGTCAAAGCAAACATGCTCCGAGACAAGTATGAACAGAGTGGCGACATCCAAGACCTCGAACGGGCCATATCTGGTTTCACGTCTGGGCTGGACTCAGACAAGAACTCGGATGAACTTCGCTCTGACATCCTCGACCAGTTGTCTCTCTTGTATCACAAGAAATACAAGGAGACAGGAGAAAAGGCGGACCTCGAGACAGCCCTTGGTTACTCGAGACAAAGGCTTCTAAACACTCCAGCTACATACCCGACCCGACCAGCTCACATTGCAGACTACCTATCCCACCTTGTCGAATACATCCTGCTCGCTGACTCGATGAGCACAGTGCAGGACGCCATCAAAGAAGCTAGATCGCACAGAGATGAAGTGCCCAAGGCTCACGCGAAACATCACTCCTGTAATCTTTCGTTGGCTGGGTTGCTGTCGAAGCAATATCTCGTTTCCCACGACGTCAACCACCTCCGAGACCTCATATCGCACACCATCTCAAGTGTCCACGAATGGAACGAAAAGCTTGACGTCACTCGACCGAAAGTGCCTACTGACGAGCTATATCGCTTTTCGTCGTACATCGGTGACATCGATCGTGCTCCGACGGGTGCTCCAGTTAAAAAGCAGGCCGCCGAGCTGCTGGAGGAATGGCACATTCCAGTTCATGAATCCCGGACACCATTCGACAGCATGGTTGCGATGTGCCGAGTCCATGTGGAGGAACTTGGAGTCTTGTGCAAGAACCTAGGCTCGGATCATGCACTGTCACAGGACGAGCGCAGTGCAGGCCTCGATCAGGTCGAGAAGGATCGAGCCGCCAAGGCAGCAGAGGACCGGAAAAGCTCGAGTCAGATGCGAAACTTCCAACGCGATGACTACACTGACCCATTTTTTGGCCATAGACAGTTGGCCGTCGACGCTCAACGGAAACGCATCGTCGTCTCCATGGAAGGCTTGGTCCGGAGTGTCCTTGGCTATCAGGACGACGAAGAGGAGCCAAAAACATGGTCCGAATTCGAGGCTAGAGAGGCTCGGCTAGAACGCGAATCACTTGAGAAGCAGCAGGCTGAGGGCAAATTTCCCAATCCCAAGCTTTGCCGACTATGCCGACACGTCAAGTTATTGAAAGCCACGGATGGCGGTGCCTTCGTCTGGGACACCAACCAGTTTTTCCCGTTTGGAACTTACACTCAACTCCTCACGAGGAACCACTGTTCCATATGTCGGTTGATATTGTCCCTCACCACAGCGGAGGGAAGTCGGAGCCTACACTCACAACTAGCCAATATTGATCCCGAGATACAGGGCACACAATTTCACGCCCAGGTCCTGCGGTCTGGGGAAGTGATGCTTGGAGTCGAGTATGGCATGACGACAATCGGAGCCCTGCGACTTCTCACTGCCAAAAATCTGACCGAGGCTGTGAGACAGCCCTCTCAGGTTATCGCCCTGAAGTCTGCCTTGGATCACGGTGGCTCTCCCTTGTCTGCGCTCGATGCAGAGGATCAGATGGTGGACTTCAACGGGATCCGGACGTGGCTTTACGACTGTCATGGTCTCCATGGGGAACTTTGCAACGGAGTCAGCAAAACTGAGAGATACCTCAAGGACATCCCATTGCTCCTTGTGGATGTCCAAGACAACTGTCTGGTCCAGGCCACCTCCGCAGAGCGATATCTCACACTCAGCTATGTGTGGGGCAAAGTCGACATTTCCACCACAAAGACGACAAACCTCACGGTTCGACTGCGAAAGTCAAGCTTGGACCCATCGAGCTTTCCAAAGACCATCCGGGATGCTATGACATTGGTCCGATCGCTCGGAGAGCGGTATCTGTGGACGGACGCGCTTTGTGTCATCCAGGACGATGACGACACAAGAGACCGAGACATTTCAAATATGGATATCGTCTACCAGAAGGGATTCTCCAATATCGTGGCTCTCGCAGGCAGCGATGCCGACGCCGGCTTGCCAGGGGTCACCCCGAAATCCAGACCGCCACAGAAGATCGAAGTGCTGGAGATCTCGAAGAACTCGGAGGATCTTGCTCTCCGCGATGATGGGGATGGTGACGGCGAGATGGAAACACTTTATATGGTAGCTACCCCACGACCTCTGTCGTTTGCTCAGACAAGTTCGACCTGGAACACGCGCGGCTGGATCTTGCAGGAGCAAACGCTTGCTCGTCGAAACATTTACTTCTCGCCCAACTATGTCTACTTCCAATGCAACCAAGAAATCCAGTGCGAAGTGACCTTAGAGGGCCCAATCCAGGAGGACAAGTCCAGCCGCGGTAAGGGGGAAGGTGAACAGGGAGCGTCCGTGACCATCAAGAATCCACTCACACTGCTCAGGAAGATTGATGACCGCTCTGGACCAGAACACTTGCGACGAGTTTTTAGCGCTTACAGTGAACTTGTCGAAATATACACGAGACGCGATCTGACACAGCCAACGGATGTTCTGGATGCCTTCGCGGGCATGCTTTCGACGTTCAGAGACGAGTTCAAGAGCGAGATCTTGTATGGGATCCCCATCGCGGCATTCGACTTGGCTCTTCTATGGACTCCCACCCAGACCCTGAATGGCCGACCTGGAAGGAAATCTACTTCCCGAATGGCAGCATTCTCAACCTCACCGTCCGCGCCTGACACCGAAGACGCCATCATCCAGAATTTCCCAACGTGGTCGTGGGCAGGGTGGATCGGCAGTGTTGATTACCGACTCCTCCCGCTCGACAAGGAACCCGCTCCCGAATCCCTCATCGGCGAGATCTACATCATCCGGCACGGCAAGATCCTCCGCCTGATCAATTACCACCGGCCCTGTCCCGACAAAGACGCAAAGGCCTCGCCGGATCTCCTCAACGCCTACTTCGGCCGCATTAGCACTGACGCGCGACAAACATTCCGGGACACCATTCTGCACGTGCGCCTCCCGATCGTCTCTCGCGCCGGCTTCACCATCGACCGCAGCCGCTCGCCCGACTACCTGAGCAGCAACCAACACGTGCATCTGCAGACCAGCCAAGCCGTGGTGCGCATCCACGACAAGGCAGGCCGACACTGTGGCATCCTCTTCGAACATCTTGACTACCATTCTTTCTTGCAGCTCGTTCGCGGCCAAGACATGAGCCAAATCGCCGCGTCGCTGGAATCCATGATGACGCTCGACGACAACGCCCTGGTTGCCGTGTCGCACACCAAGGACACCTACGGGCGCCGCGAGGCGCTGACCCGAGTGGAGGGGGATGTGAAGCGGTTTGATGCGTCTGAGTTTCCGGAGCAGGGGCCTGGGAGCGCGCTGGTGAATGTCTTGGTTCTCAGGCCGGCCGTGGGGTGTTTTGAGAGGATTGCGGTCGGGCAGATCCACGTGAGGGCGTGGGAGGAGGCCGGGCCGAAGAGGATGTGGATCAAGATTGGATGAAGGGGTGACGGGACCGCATGAATGTGTTTGAGATTGACGTGCTTACACAACTGTCTATCCCTATAGCAAGCATGTGCCGAGGGCGACGGAACCTTCAACCGTGCCACCCCTCCACTCTTGCAAAAGATACCCGACAAGGATTTGGCGGCGATTGCGATAGCGATAGGCGAGCTCAGATAGTAAGATCCCAGGTTTCCCCAGACTACCATTGTCCCACAAGTCAGTCGGCGCCGCTTTGAAGCCCCGTAAGACTGAGCGGAAGGTGTCGAACTTTTTGTCGACTGTCACGGCAACGATCACGGGCAAGTACATTATAGCTATGGCGATCTGTTGATATCACATCACCTGCAATCCTTCAAGACTTCAACATACGGAAGGGGCCCGCTTGGTAACAACAGTAGTCATCAGCGCGGGCCAGGAAGATCTAAATCAACATTCACACTTTCAAGATGTTCACCAAACCACTATTATAACCCTCCCCGACCCGGAACCCAACCGGCTATAGATGGACTGGGCCTGGCCATACGGTTCACCACGTGGTTGATTCTCACTCCCTTCTCGGATCAGACATCGAAATGGCTCGACCACCGACGCAGCCTTTCACCATAGACGAACAAGGGAATCGTAAAGGCGAAAAGAACCCCTTCAATCAGTGTCTGGTAGCCCGCAACCTAATCCGATCATCAGCTCATCAGCATCATGTGCAAAGTGGTCTCGCGGAGCGGAGGGGGGAAGCTGAGAAAACGTTACCTTTCCAGGGCCATCCTTGGCTAGCCAGGGGTAGACGGCGAAGCTGATGCCAAAGGCAAAGGTGTTTTTGAATGCCGTGAGCGAAGTCATGGCCTCGCCGGCGACAGGTCTGTAGCTGTCGACCACATAAGTCATGCCGATGTTGGGCACCGCACAGAGCACCGCATAAGAGATCCCCGACCCGGCAGCGGCCACGGACCAGTGCAGCTGGTTCTGCAGCCCGAAGCCCCACAGCAGGAGACCTAGGGGTCCGAGCAGGAACGGCATGATCATGAGGTAGAGCCGGTATTCGGGCTTGAAGTAGCCGCCGTGTCGTTTGGTGATGTTGGCGATGAGCCAGTCGCAGAAGGGGCCGGCGTAGATGCAGCCCAGGAGAGCACCGATGACATTCTACCAAGCGCGTCAACACTTTCCGAAACAAACCCAATCAATCCGACAATGTCAAACACTCACCGCCGCGTAGAGATTGCCCACCCCAAGAGCCGAAAAGTGGTACAGTTGGGGGAAATACAACGCGTTGGCCGTCAGTTGGAACACCACCCAGCCCAAGGTGACGCCGTAGCAGACGGATGCCCAGAAGACGGCAGGATACGGCAGCAGTGCCAGCGGGCGCCAGAAGTACAGCCACAGGCTGGTCTCGCGGTCGTACCAACCCCACAGCTTCAACGACCGTCCGAAGTGGTATTTGGTGCGGATCATTTCGGTGACGAGCTCCTGCTGGCCGTTGTCAAGGCCTTCGGTGTCCTCGGGGCGAATGAAGTTTGTCTCGGCGCAGAAGAGCACGATCAAGAGGAAACACACGCCGGTGAGGATGGCGCACATCCAGAAGATCCAGTGCCAGTCGGAATTGGCGTTGACCACGAGGCCCCCGAAGATGCCCCCCAGGGCGCTTCCGCCGCCGATCATGAACCTAGTCAGGAGTTTGTGAGCTTCCCGCTCAAGATAGATACCTTTCGGCTTGGGATCTCACGTGTAAGTCCCCGTTAGGGTCGCTCGCTCGTGCAGGAAGTACAGGTCGGCGACGACGGCGGGTCCCATGGCTTCAGAAGCACTGGCGCACCACCCCGAAATGATGCGCGAGCCGAGGAGAGAACCGTAGGATTTGGAAACAGCCGACCAGATTGCTATATGTCGGCGTCCCTTGGGTCAGTGATCGGGACTGCAGTATCAGGAAGATCCATACTCACTGGCAACGAAAAAGAGTCCGCTGGAGATGACCATGACGGGTCTTTTGCCAATCTTGAGCGAGAGCGGAATCCAGAACAAGTTCTGTAGTGGTTCTAAGTACACCTCTTTTCTCTTTTCCATGGGGGTCAATTGTATCATCTGCTTACCCCAACTCCTAGAACCAGAATCTGCAATGTGACCAGATAGCTGGCCTGCGTGGGTGTGATGCCAAAATCCTCAATCACCAAAGTCAAACCGGGAGTCATGGCGGAGAGGCCAAAGTTGGACAGCAAAACGTAGAAGCACACCGTGCCGAAAGCAATGTGTTTTCTCCACGCAGCCCAGGTCTAGATGGAGAAGGGGTTCGTTAGTTTTCAGCCATGGCAAAAACAAACGAACGCTTTGATCCAGAAGATCATCCATCGAGTATTCCTCACCAAAGGATCATTTGGATCGTTTGTAGGACGAGGAATCAGTACTCGCCCGATGACATTGCCCTCTGCATCCTCTGAAGGCAGGGCAAAAAAGAGAATGTCAGCGCTTTGGTGGAATTCGTGCTTGGGGTGGTTCTTACCTTTGTAAAGGTGAGATGCTCCAATCTGGGTATGGTGAGTGTGAGCGTGGCCGTGGCCGTGACCATGGCCATGGCCAGCAGCACTCACTTCTACCTCGACTTTGGCTATCTCGGGCTTTTCTTGGGTCTCGGACTTGGGCTCCATTGCGTTGCTCTGCAGGGGGAAAAAGATGTTGCAGCTTCCTGTGTGGTTGCATGAGCGAGGACAGGCCCGCCATGGGGTTGCGAACGTCCTGGTCAAATATAGACAACCATTGAGCCACACAGTCGAGCCAGAGCGCGTGGCATTCGATGGGGAATGGAGTCCGGGGTTCTGCCAGCTGCCCCCCCCACACGATGCTCAGATTCTGGGGAACAGAAGGAAATTTGCATTTCCCGATTCCCGATTTCCCGATATCCCGAGAGCATTTAGAGCATTTCCCAAGAGCATTTCCCAAGCCGGCCCGTCTTCATGGTCAGCTGCCTGGCTGAAAGTGAAAGCTTTGGCGTTTCGAGAGATCATGTCCGAGTACTCCGTAGATGGCGCAACATTTCGCCTCTGAGAGGAGAGAAACTAAGGGGGGGCAGGCGAGAAATCTTGAGAGAAGGAGAGGACGCAGGTTCGCCCCAATATGTTTGACCCACCCGGGATCACGGTCGTCAGAACAACAGTTTGCTACTCATGAGCACCGAAGGTTGAGAAACAGGCTGGGGGTGAACCAATGTTTCCTCAGGTCCACTGTAACTACAACGCAAGAAAGAGAAAAGAGTGAGGTCTTGAGATGGAACTCAAACGAGGACCTGTCAGTTTCAGTTGTAATGCCAGTCGCTATGTACCCTCTACATGTCTATATGCCACGCTCTGCATGGCTGACAAGTCTATGAATGCCTCTAATGAAGTATTCTCGAGCGTCTCATAAGTCAGCATCACACTGACCTTCAATCAGTTTGATCTGCCTCCAGATTCTACTTCCTTCTTGGAGTAGCCCGTTGCAGTCAGAAGTTTCCCATTAGATTTAACAGGATGAGCGGCTGTCACAGGATCGTCAGTTACAGGAACATCACCAACCTGTGCTAGATGCATACCGGTCAAGATAAAGTAAATCCTCGCGGGCTTGTCGGAATGGTTTGTCCAGCCGTGGATCGTGCCTCGCTGAACACAAGTATCGCCCTCTTTCATGTCGATTCGAACTCCATCGTCGAGATAACTTTGACGTGAGAACAAAGGATGGTGAGCAAATACGGGTCAAAAAGTACATCGGAATCAGAGCGTACCAAGTGATCTCGCCCTTGAACAAAATCCCAAAATCGAGGGATTCGGTTCGGTGAAACATCTGTTTGCAACACATCAGTTGTCGCACTCTCCCGGGTCGATTGATATACCACATACTGTCTCGGTATGGGCTGGGATGTCGACAATCCGAAGAACTATGCCATTGCTGTTGGACAAGTCGGTGGTCCGAGTATTCACCGGGTCATTCCACTCATCCAAATTGTCGGGGAACCGGTGTGTTTCATAGAGCACCGCAAAGTTGGTCTTGGTCCCGGTAGGAACACAAGGGATCGTGCCGTCTGCAACGACAACTGCTTTGCCCTCATCATTGTGGCCGGTTACGATTCGGCGTGGGTCAGGAAACATTTGGGTCATTGTGCAAGGGGGTTTTGGTCCGGTGTTGCGGTCCTGGAAGGCTGGATGGGTGAGAACTCTTGTTACACATATACAGCAGACCACGCCCTTTCGTATCAAATCAACCTTGTCGGTTCTAGAACCTCCTTCGAAAGTGGGTGGCTAGCTGGTGGTGTTCCTCAACGTCGTCTAGATTTCTCGGCTTATTGCAGCTTCAATTGCCGAATGCCGCATAGAAACGACAGTCTTACTTTATTCGAATGATCGTCTGAGGTCTGTAGGGGTTGCGTCAAAGTCCCGAGGCTTTAACAAGCTCTATTAACCGACATCAGCTCCACGAGAACTGCCTCTGACAACAAGTTGTTCGGCTTCTGTCTGTGGAAATGTCGTCCTCTCTCCTGATCAAACACTCCACGGTGATCAGTGTCGATGACAAGATCGGCACCCAAACAGACTGTGACATCTACATCGAGAATGGGATCATCAAAGAGGTCGGACCTAATCTGAACCCCTCGAGCGTCGACGAGGTGCTGGACGCCACACATCGTCTCGTCTCGCCCGGGTTTGTCGACACCCATCATCATCTGTGGCAACAGTTGATCCGCGGGGTGACCACGGACTGGTCGCTGGGCGAATACATCGACAACATCCGCAACATCTACGGCAGCCTGTTCACCCCGGACGATGTATACACGGCCAACTACTTCGCCGGGCTCGACCTGATCAACAACGGCGTCACCTGCGTGATTGATCACTGTCACATTCTCAACTCGCCGGCGCACGCCGACGCTGCGGTCAAGGGTCTCAAAGACGCCGGGATTCGAGGAACCTGGTGCTATGGCTTCTACGAAAACCCGAGCCGCAAGGACCTTCCGGGCTCGAATCATGAGATCGCGACTCCCGATGGCTACGACAACGCGAAGCGTCGGGAAGACGCCAAACGGGCACGGCACCAGCACTTTGCAGACAACAGCCCCGAGAAGAATCTGCTGACCTTTGGAGCGGCGCCTTACGAAGCCGAAGGCATGAGCTACGAAGCACTTCAAGACGAGATCGCCTTCTTCCGAAGCATCGGGGCTCGAATCATCACCATGCACGTCGCCATAGGCAACTATGACACCAACCGTCAGGTGGTGCAGCATCTCGGGGACGCGAACTGTCTCGGCAAGGACCTTCTCTTTAGCCACGGATCGAGCTTCACAGACTCGGAACTCAAGCTCATCCACGACGCCGGGGCCGGAATCTCCGCGACGCCCGAGACTGAGCTGCAGATGGGGATGGGCCACCCTGTGGCGTTTCGTGCCGCAGAGGCGGGGTGTAATATTGGCTTGGGGATCGATATCACCAGCAACAACAACAACGACATGCTGGCCATCATGCGTCTTTTGCTACAAGCCGAGCGCGGCAAACGGCAGGCCGAAATGCTGCGCACACGGACTCTCCCCACGAAGATCTACCCGAGATCCGAAGAGGCTTTGTACATGGCAACCATGGGCGGCGCCAAATCGATCGGCATGGACCATCTGATCGGCAGCGTCACGCCGGGGAAACGGGCGGATCTGATCGTCACAAAGTGCGACAGCATGAACACGGTGCCGGTGACCAGCCATATCGGAGCACTCATGTATAATGCCCACATTGGAAACATTGACACGGTGTTGGTCAACGGGAAAATCATGAAGAGAGACGGCCACGTGCTCGATGTAGACTGGCCCAGGTTGCGAGATGATGTCCGTGCTCGGACGGCCAGGATGTTTGATATAGCCACAAAGGCTCCCAAGGTGCCCGAGAACACGTTGTGGAGTGTGTTGATTGCTGGCATCGACAAGCAGACGACGCATAATGAGTAGATCAACTAAACACGGATAGGTCCACTGAAACTAGGAGATTAAAAAGCAAATGTATCAACCAACCCATTTTGTCGGAACAGGTCCAAATGTTCAGCTGGTCATGAGTAACGGAGGGTATGATCCTCAAACAAACAAAAATGTACAAGTGGTGTTGTAGCAGTCTATAGGATCCCGGTATAACAGTGGCGACTCGTGCTTGCAGCGGGGTGCTTGATATCACGGCACTTCTTCTCTCAACAGCTCCGAAATCCAATCCTCGACATGGCCAAACGACTCCAAATCCCCTCCTTCGCCGGACAAGTCAAACGCGCCGCCAAAGCGACCAAATTCGTAGGCGGCCAGATCGTCGGGAGGCAACAGAGGATCCAGCATCAACGCCAGTTGGCCGTCTACAGGCGCCGCTCTTTCTTCGCGCGAGATCTGAGAGATGAAACTGGTGAGGCTTTCTTCGTCCTCGGGGCCCGCACCTGCAACTGCCCCTGCGCCTGCACCTGGGCCCGGGGCTGCTCGGACTCCAGCCGTCGCGGGGTCTTCCTCCAGGCCGAGATCCCCAATGTCTTCGGTGCCTCTGGCAAAGGAACCCTCTTCATTGACGATGATGGTGTTGTGAGTCAAGATCGACTGGCGCGCTCTGGGATTCGTGGCCTTGAACCCCTTCATTGCCGCCGGGCCCATCTTCGCGGGTTCATCGGTCAGCGGGAACGGGTGGTTGCGGTGAGCTTTGTACAAGCGATACGCGTATCTTCCCTGAAGTAATTGGAGAAAAGAAAAAGGCGCGTCAGCTTTATGGATTTTACACCACCACATGGGGCGCTCAAAGGACAGGACCGGACGGGACCGGAACAATCACATACCAAGACTTTGAGAAAGACCCAGTGGTTTCCCAGGATTTGCAATGTCTTGAGGTTTGCCAGCATGCTGCGTACGGCGTGTTGCTTGACGCTCACGTTGGAACACCATAGGAAGGGCGTCTGGATCGCGCTGGCACAGTACGCCGCGTAGCCGATGAAGCTGGGCATTCTTCGAGGGTCCCAATCCAGGCTCAGGGCCGTCTCGAGGAGCGCCGACACGGCGTAGGAGTGGTCCAGCGCCAATTGTCCCGAGAGTTGTTGGGCGTACGAGTAGTTGTCGTCGCCGTCGCTCCAGGAGAAGAGCGGCACGATGGACGAATGCAAGGAGCACCAGCACTGATGGTAGATGACGTGCAAGAGGAGCAGATTGGCTAAGTCGTCCGGGGCTGTCGACGGCATGCTCTCACAGCTCAACTGGAACTCGCCCGAGATCTTGGAAAACGCCTCCTGTAAGCGCGCCTCCTGCGCTTGGATTCCAACTAGGCGAGTGGACAGATCAGCTTCGGGTTTCCCGATCAGCGCCACGACCTCCGACCAGGTCGCCATGGCCCGGACCAACTCGGCGAAGATGCTCTGGGTCCCTTGGCCGGATCTCAAGGTGATGGAGCATTGCGGAGCCCCGGCCTTGAACTTCGACTCCGGACAGGGCAATTTGATATTCAGCATGGCATCCGTGGGCACCCGGGGGAAAAGACTGGCCCAGGAAAATGAATTGAGCAGATAACAGCCCCAGAACGCGCGGCGTCGCTGCTCCGACTCCATCGGCTCGTCGATTTCTTGTTGCGCACAAGGGAGACCAAGTGTCCAGGCGGTATTGTATGCACATCCTAAGGATAGGTCAGTAAAATATACTGGTGGCCGCAGCCGTAAGCTGGAAAGCTCGAACACTTGCCTGAGTGCATGCTGGATCTCTGGAACCCTCCACCGGTGTACCAGTACAGCGCCAGATTGAGGAAGACGATGATATTCTGGCGACTTGGGCATTCATATTCTCGTAGCGCCATCCGACCTGCCGCCTCGGCCCATTCGCGGCAAAATTGGGCTTCGACAAGTGAGGCCGATCCTCTCTCGTCGACGTAGAACCTGAACACGAGACAGATACCCGGTCAGCGAAGCATGTTCTTGCTGCCTGTCAGGATGATGGAGGGTTTTTGCGGGGCATACTTTGCAGCCAAGGCGCAGATGCTCAGCACAAGATCCAGCCGCACGGTCTCACGTTCCAGAGCCTGGGTAAAGGAGGGGCGGTGGATGAGGAGGTGGCCGTTGTAGTAGTAGGTAAAGTACAGATCAATCAGCACGGGCAGAAGCCCTGACGGGATGCCGTGATAGCGCTTCTCAGGCAGATGAAACCGCGCAGGGGACGGTGAGGATGCTTGTGTCGATGCAGTCCTTGTGGGCTGTTTGGGCCGAGGCCGAGAAATTGCAGCGGGATAGGTACATGGTCGACCTTGGTGTCTGCACCTTTGACAGGTCGGTCTCTGGCCACAGCAGCGCAACTGTCCCACGCATCGAGATCAGCAGGATTTCCCAGGGGTGCTGACGGGCCCGGAAGACGGCATACCTTCTGCGCATTGCAGTGGTCGCAGGAACGTCGAGGTCGGCCAGGCATCCTGGCAGTGGCAGCATCGCATCCGACGACTTGGAGAGTCGTTCTTTCGGGAAATGGACGGGAATTGGCCAGCCTTAAATACCGAATTCTGGTCCTATTCCCCCGCATGGCCTAATCAGCGACAAGCGAGGGTCATTTTGTGGGGTCCGGAGTTCTCTTGGACGGGAGAACAACCAGGAGGTCCAGAACCAGATCAGTGATTGTCCGACACGGGTGCCCGACTTGCTTGCCTTGCATCCCAATAATGGTGGGACTCACTCTCTGGGATTCGATATTAGACAACATTGCTTCCTCTTTGCTCGAACTGCCCTCGATCGTCTGCCCCCGTGAAAAATGGCCCATCAATCGGGGTCCAACTCACCGTACACCATACACAATCTTCCGTATGGAGTGATCACCACCAAGAACAACCCCCTGAAGCGATGTGCGGTTGCTTTTGAAGACTCTGCCATCGACCTCGACCAACTACATCGGGAAGGCTTCTTCGAATCCATTTCAGGCTTGACCACGAACCTCTTCGCCAATGTAAGGTCCTTGGAATCGCCCATGAGGCCCCAGCAGATTGGACTAATTGATGCAAAAGGGAGACTGGAATGCTTTCGCCGTTCTCCCGTCTCAGTCGCGTGCTGGATTTCGGGAACATCTCAAGTCGAACATCCAGGATCCCAGGGTCGCCGAGGCTCGAGTATCCCTGGCTGAAGTCCAGTGCCATCTCCCCATGGACACTCGCAACTTTACCGACTTTTATTGCTCATTGGTGCATAGCTTGAATGTGAGGCCCTCCAGCTGAATAGCCTGAGTGTGTCCTGCTTTTTTTTTCGTTTCACTAACAGAGAATCTCGAAGTGCTGTGAAGTGGCTGGCTCATCGATCCCGCCCAATTGGTACACCAAACCGTCAGCTTACAACGGCCGCACCTCAAGTCTCGTTGTCTCCGGCACTCCCTTCCACCGACCTTGTGGAATGTTTCCCAATGCTCAAAGCCCCAACGGGGCCTCCTTTCAGCCGGAAGCGCACATGGACTTTGAGCTTGAGATGGGGGTCTGGTTGTCCAAGCCCGTGGGCCGAGGCCAGCGACTCAAGATTGCCGAGGCCAAGGAGCACATCTTTGGCTTGACTCTTCTCAACGACTGGTCATCGCGAGACATCCAGATGTACGAGATGGCTCCCCTCGGCCCTTTCCACGGAAAAGCGAGCGCGACTTCGATTAGCTCGTGGATTGTGCCGATCGAGGCGCTAGAAGCCGTGCATTGTAGGCGGCAGGCCAGGCAGGAACCCGTTGCCCCAACCTACTTACGCTGGCCGAACGACGCCACCGAAACTTTCGATATCGAGCTGTCGGCCAAAGTGCTCAGTAGGTACCAACGGAAAAAGTCTCGGTGTTGAAAGTGCCAATGGCCCATCTGACTGTCTTCGTCGCCAACAGGGGATGGTCAATTGTACACCGTCACGGAAACGAACCTCAAGGAATTGCACTGGACCCCCTTCCAGCAGCTCACTCACTTGGCCGCATCTGGCGCCGGTTTGTCTCCCGGTGACGTCTTTGGCACCGGGACTGTGTCGTGCCATGTAAGTTGTCTCGTTTGCTCCTCACTCGTGTATCATCCACAAAGAGTGGTCCTGTCTAATTTCGAGGTTGCAGCGGGAAAATGAGCACGGGGAAGACATCGGTCCTGCGTGTCTCCTTGAGCGACAGATGCCGCGCACGAAGCTCCAGTCTGTTCCTTCGGACCTCTTGGATACATTTTTGAAGGACGGGGACGAAGTCATCTTGGAGGGATGGTGTAGAGATCCGCATAGCGGTAAGGTTCTGTTCGGCTTTGGTGAATGCCGGGGAACGGTGCTCCCCGCGATTGTGGACGGAGACGTCGCCCAAATCTGACCGCGTCAGACCTTGCAGAGAGTGTCTTTGTCTTCATGAGAGAGGAGAATCAAATAGATTCCATGGCTGGGTACGGACAATACAACATTTCCGCATGGAATGATTTAACGAGCAATATCTGCATGTGTAGGTTAATGCATTCATCTTGCCATCAGCCTTGGAAGACCTTCCGCAGGGCATACATGTACCCACGAATACCAGGAGCTTCCCCCTGAGGCCTTGTTTGGTAGATATTCGGTGAGCAACGACGGTGTCGCTAACGGAGTGGTGGAGATCCTCGGACAAGACCTTGTGGTCGACAACCTGGCGCCAGTCAATGGAGACGGCCTCGGTGCCGACCTTATCGCTCCTAATGTGAACCGGATCTTATTCGGAGCAGGCAATCTCAGTGGCGGGTTGTTACAGTTGCCTCTGTCGGTGCACCAACCTCGATTCGCTGGGGCCGGACGCCCCAGGACAAGAACACGCTGTACATCAGCAGCACGGGGAACAACACATCCAGCGTCGAGTTCTCTTCTCGAACCCCTTTTGAAAATCATCCATCGCGGTACGATGCCCCGCATAATCGGCAGCCGTTTCAGCGCCGATTACTCCATTCCCAATGTCCGTAAACGATCTCATATCTATTTCTTGGTCCCCCATATCCGTAAGATCGCAGCCAGTGCCGTTGTCGTAATCCAAGTTGTCCTTCAATTTCCTGCGGGAGGACTTCAAGTTTTCGAAATTTCTTCATGGCGTCTTGTTGCTCCTGGATAGCGGTGAGAAGCCCTCTAATAATGTTGCGTTGATTTTCGATGTGTTTAGCTTGGACGACATGCCATCTTTAGGCCTGTTGGTTGTATTCTTTGCCCTGTGATTGAAGTTCTCATGCTAGTGACAGGACGACTAACTAGCTCTCCTCTTGTGGACCAGAAAATTCACCTCGTTGTTGCAGTGACTTGGCTCTATATCATCAGTTAGATAAGAGCTCTAATCATGTAAGTGTCATGCCACCTGCCACTGGTGATTGCATAATAATTCGACCGCCTTCCAAGAGTTGGAGAGTTAGAGGTTGAGGCTCTAGGCTGCGCTTGACACGGGCCGAGCCGGCTAGTTGGCAGGCTAAGTACTAGCATCAAGACGCCTCGTGAGGGCAAACCGTGATCTTGCGCTCCGCGTGTCTCTCTTGTCTTTATATTTGTTCACCATCCATCTGTACATGGATATGACCACACAATACATGAGCGTAACGGAGCTTATGAACAAGAAATATCTGCTGAAAGGGGCCCTAGCCCAACCTCAAGTGCTTTCTCTCACCGCCCAAAGACATAATCTACGTAGCTCGCCATGATGACCCCAACATCCGCCTGGCGATCAATGAACCCTGTCGTCGGCGCCTTCTGTCATCTGATCGGGCTGGACTATTTCTACGAATGGCAAAGATGGGGTCTCCTGGGTCATTTTCTCTCTTTTTGCGGACTGGTCGATACCAGCAGTGTCAGGCAGATGCACTGGAATATCAATACCTGGACCGATGACGAGGTCCTAGCTTGGAAGCAGTCTTACATGACCACTTGCTCATCCATCGAGGTCGCCGTAAGGATACCGCCCCCCCACGACGCGATTACCGATCTGCTCACCAATGTAGGGTGCCATCTTCGCCAGCGTTGGCCTTACCGCACTTCAGCTCCCGAACATGGATTCGACCCATTGGAGCGCCAGGGCTCTTTTGACCTGCTCTATGATACTGGGGGTGTTATCCGTCGTGTTCGCGGCGTCGCAGCAGTCCGATATCGGCATGCTCAACAAGCCACTGGATATCCGGCTCTTCCTCAGCCGGGGCAAGGTCGAGCTTGAGAAGCGCCACTACCGCAAACCCTTCATCCTTCTCCCTCTGGAGAGCTCAGTGGCTGCATTGAAGCAATTCGACTTGCCCAAGGTCGTGCTCAACATGGCCGTCCTGCTGTACATCATCGGGCTCGGCATCTACCTGCTCTACTCCTGGCTGTACCACGTCGAGCCTGACGGCGGACGGAACGACTTCCGGAACATCTTCATCGCCTTCGCCGCGACCGTGGGCGTCGTCTACCTCTACGTGATTGTCATTGGCGGGCTTGCTTATGCCGACAACCGCAAGCGCACCGAGGACTTTGATCTCGACCGGACCACCACGTTTGCGAAGCCGGCCTCCCAGACGCAGTTGGAGGAGTGGCTCCGGGCGTTGCAGGATATGCAGAGCACCACCTCCGAGTCGGGGAATGTCTACATCAGGCTGCAGACGGCAGTGAACGACTTGCAGGCCAAGTGGGAGTCGGACAGACAGGAGCTGGAAGGAAGAAAGAGGGTGATGCGAACGCAGAAGAAGCGACGTGCGGGTGGTGCGGGACGTAGTGCGTGAGCTGACAACTAACTGCGTTGGCAGTCTTCGTTTGGTTCCAGACTGAGGTCGTCGTGTTTGCGGTGCAATTGCAGTCTTTACACGATCCACGGGCGAAGCCGAGAATATCGCCTTCGCAAGGAGGCACTGGCCGGCACTGACTGAGGCGAGGCGATCTCCCAGACAAGGGACCATCCATGAGCGGACTCGAGAACGGGACATGTCTAGGAGCGACGGGTAAACCTCGACATGTGCCATTCGGCTCATTCCTTGGTCCGGCGGCCATGGCACAGATAACTCTAGCGCTCGACTAGGCGCTTGTTCATGTTCTCTCTTTGCGAAGCTCGGCAACGCGTCCACTGTATCGATGGTTGACTCAGAGCCACCGCATCCATGACGGTGGAGGACTCACGGTGTCCAGGAGTCTCAGGCCGCATGACCAAGACGTCCTTGGGCCAGCGAACGGGGGCCGTGTCGTTAGCCACATACATACTCATTTGGGCGTCGTCCACTACATGCCAGCCTCGGTGGAGGCCTCGTTTCTCGTGTCTGCGCGCTGGCTTGCCCGTAAGCCCGGAGCAGTGTTTGTCGAGAATATAATATCTAGCTGTATTATATTATAGACTGCGGATATCACTCGTACCCGAACTGCATGAGAGCTCGCAACCACAAACACGACCCGTCTCCCAGAGGTCTAATCACTCTTCTTATAATTTCCCCAATGCATGCGACGGAGCGATGCTGGTTGGATTCCCACGTTCATCAGACCATCGCGACCACGACCTCCCATGGCCTTAGCAGCATCGCCCAACCCTTTTCGCTGTCCTTCCGTACCGCGTTGACCCCTTCCCCGTTTCGCGTATAGTTGCGGAATTCCTCCAGAATGGCACCTCTCCTCAGTCCGGCTCCATCAAACAGTACCTGTCCTGCCTTGGTTGGGGGAGTCCACCATATCTGCTCGCCCGAAAAGTTTGTAACGACAAGACACGTTCTGCGCTTGTCGACTTTTGTGGCCTGTGAGTTGGGATCCTCTGCAGAATCGTCTGTCCTCAGGTAGGCAAGGACGGTTCCGAACTCGTTGTTCAGGTCCAGCATCTCGAAGTCGCCGTACACGAAGACGTCCTTGTACTGCTTGCGGAGCTTGAGAACGCGCTGCCAATAGTGGAATGCGCTGTCATGGTCGGCAAGTTGCACCTCGGCATTCCACTCCGCGAAGTCAGGGTGAATGGACATCCACGGCTTCGCATCCTTGAGAGCATCAGCAGGGAGGAACCCGGCGTAGGTGTCTCCGTCGGCAGTCCACTGCATCGGCGTCCTGGCATTGTCGCGTCCGATGAGCCGATATTGCCTTCTGTAGGCGGCTTGTTTCTCCTTGTCATCGGGGAAGTCTCTCAGCACCGTCTTCCAGTGGTTGAGTTCCTCGATGTCTTTGTACTCGTCCATACCCCAGCTCTCTGGCACGTTAATTTGAGCTAGTTCTTGGCCCTGGTAAACAAAAACCGTGCCAGACAAGAGACCCATGTGCGCCGCAAGAAACTTGGCTGACTTGGTGCGGTACACGTCGCTGTCGTCGCAGTACCTCGAAACCGTACGTCCTTGGTCGTGATTCTCCATGAATACCGCGTTCCAGCCGGCGTTCTGGAGCATAAATGACTGCCATTTCGACACGATGTGCTTCAAGTTCCGCGGGTCAAAGTCCTGGTGGTCCCACTTGATCCCGCCGGGTTTGACGTCCATGCCGACAATGTCGAATTGGAACACCATCGCAAGCTCGCCACGATCTTGTCCCACGGCGTTGAGGATCTCTTTGGTGTCCTCAACGCCGGGCATCTCGCCCACCGAGAATGCGTCGTATTCTCTGAGGATAGCGCCGATCTCTCGGAGGTATTCATGCAGCCGTGGACCGCAGGCAAACAATCTCACCCCGGACTGTAAGAAGCCAGGCCGCGTGATTTCTCCGTCCGGCAGGCCAGGCTCTTTTGATATGAAATTGATAACATCCATCCGGAAGCCGTCGACCCCACGATCGAGCCAAAAGCGCATCATGGAGTGGACTGCATCTCTCACCGCGGGATTCTCCCAGTTCAAGTCGGGCTGTGCACTTGCGAACAGATGGAGGTAGTATTCACCCGTGGCTTCGTCGTAAGTCCAGCTAGAGCCGGAGAAAGCGGATTCCCAGTTGTTCGGCGGAACGCAATTTCCGTTGTCGTCGTAGCGTGGCGGACGCCAGATGTACCAATCGCGATATTGATTGTCTTTCGAGGAGCGTGATTGCTTGAACCATTCGTGTTGGTCTGACGTGTGGTTGACAACCAGATCCATTACATATTTCATGCCACGATCATGCAAGCCCCTGATGAGGTCATCGTGGTCTTCCATCGTGCCATACCCCGGATAAATAGCACGGTAGTCGGAGATATCATATCCCATGTCAACCTGTGGGGATTGTAAGATGGGACTGAGCCACACAATTTCCACTCCAAGGCTAGCGATGTAGTCTAGCTTGGAGATGATGCCGCGCAGATCACCTTTTACAGTGCCGGAAGCCTTGTCCACAGTGCAGTTGGCCGACTTGAAAGATGCTGGATAGATCTGATAGACCGAGGATTCCTTCCACCAAGCACGGCGGAGAGGTGGCTTCAACATTGAAACTTGTGATGTATCCGCCATCGTGGCCTGCTCAGTCGAAATTGCTTCCGTGGTAACGTTCTTTCTCCACCGGGTGTGGCCGTTGCCCTGGACCTTGCTCCGAACGATTGAATAGGTTGGACAGACAGCCGTTGGACGAGGAGCGTAACGCGTCGCTTTAAGGGAGAAAATCCTCCTGGGAAATCTGAAATTAGTACCTTCTTTGGAGTTTACAACCCGACCATAAGGGAACTTGGTCAGAGTCGGCCGGATTGCCCAACGCGGTGATGCTTCCCCATGGAAGTCGACCTCGGACTGGCGCTGAGATTTTGCGGCACGTCATGTCACGCAGTCATGAATCAGAACCCTGGCTGGGGCTGCAACCATTTCGAAGCCTCTCAAAGGCGCGCATGCATGAATCCCAATCGCAGCCCCGAGAATTTCTCCGAGCTCAAATCGATGGCGATCCCGGTTGTTTAGCAGGATGATGAGGTCAGAGTGTAGCTTCTAAAACGAGCCTACCTCCGGGTCTTACGGGTCCCTTTCGCACTGAAAGGAAGGACTAGTCTCAGGGCCAGAAAGATAACACGTTGATCAGTAGTCGTGGTGGTCGGCATGACCGCGACAAAACTTCAATGGGATGGCCAGAATCTTGGCATACGTCATCACTTCCCGTTGCATATGCGAGGCTCTGCGCCAGCCTTGTCATCATCTCTCATCGTCCCGCAGCGCATTTTTGCGGTGTTTTCATCCTACAAGTGATACACGCAACATGGCCATCTCACGCTCCTTTACAGCTTCTTCCATATTTAAGCCTCCGTTTCAGAGTCAAACGCTAACAGTGTCGTCACGTGGTAGCTGCTCAAATCAGCCTCGTGGCTGCCTCGCGCTAGTGGATCGTGTCTTGGTGGTGTCTGGGCCCTCGCCTGCTGCACATGCTCAGCCTCACTGTGGTTCGATCTAACAACCTTCGATATCCCTGTGTTTCCTATGTTCGCCTGGACGTTCCCATCGTCCGGCTCGTGTGTGTGGTCGTGATATTATGTGTCGTTTGAATGTGCTCCAACGGCAACCCAAAGGTGGGAAAGCGCGTGGTGCAACTCGAGTCTCCTTCCCATCAATATGCTTGACCCTCTAACCGCCCTCGGCCTTGCGGGCAACGTGATACAAATTGCCGATGTTACCTGGAAGCTGGTCTCTGGAGCACGCGAATTGCACACTTCAGGATCACTGTCTGCGCTAACAGCCATAAAGACGGACGCAGAGACTGTCTATGATCAGGCTGTCGCCATCAGAACCCTCCTCCAGCCCACGATCGGTTGCCTGACGAAGGACGAGGCCGTGAGTGTCCTTTTCACAAAACGATAGGTATCGCTAACGTCTATTGCAGGCTCTCCACTCTCTGTCTAGCCACATCGAGTCGACCTCTGAAGACCTGCTTGTTTGCGTAACGCTCAATGAACAACAAACATCAATATGGAGTAACATCAAAGGCGCTGCGAAGGCAATCAAAAATAAGAGAAAGATCGCCGAGCTGGCTGGGCGATTGGAGCGCCTTCAAAACCAACTTGGTCTCCGAATACTTGTCGCCTTAAGAGCGAGTCTGAGCGAGCAATCCAATGAGCTGCAAGACCAATACGGGTTGATCCACGACGATGTCAAACATATCATACAGGTCCTGGAAGATACTCGGAGGAAAGCAGCGGATGTCAATATTGATGGCCTGGTTGGTGGCTTAGTGCGCCAGAAATTTGCGGCCGCTACCGCACTGAACGCTCGAACGCAAGAATCCAGCGATGATAACTCTCAACCCTTACAAGGTCAGGAATTATTACCCCAGACCGGGCCGCCAAAAACGGATTCAGGGAAGAAACTCGCCTTACTACGACTTCTTCGCTACCGACATATGCAAGATCGTCGGGATGAAATCGAGAATGCACATCGGAAGACCTTTGAATGGATATTTCAAGATGATGCCGCCGAATCAACTCCTTGGGCCAGCTTGTTACGCTGGCTTCGCTCCGACAACACAACTCTACCGTACTGGATCAACGGAAAAGCAGGTTCAGGGAAGTCGACGCTGATGAAATTCGTTGTCGAAGATCCCCGAACCCGGATGGCCCTATCAAGTGGGAGCGGTTCCGACGAATTCACCATAGCTTCTTGCTTCTTCTGGAATCTGGGCACAATGATGCAGAAGTCACATCAAGGCTTGCTTCAGAGTTTACTATACACCGTTCTTGACAAACATCCAAGCGCGATCCCGCTTGTTTTTGCCGATATCTGGGACAGCCTTTGGGACAAGGAAACCGACGAAGACATGCCGCATCTGACTCTTGTTGAGGTCAAGCGCGCTTTCTCGACCCTTGTGAGCCTGGATCTGCCTTTCAGGATGTGCTTTTTTGTTGACGGTATTGACGAATACGATGGCGACCACGTTGACATCTGCTCGTTTCTAATGTCCACTTGTTCGGCGCGAGTCAAATTGGTCCTCTCAAGTCGACCGATTAATGCCTGCATCGAAGCATTCCGGCACTGTCCATCTTTGCGGCTCGAGGACCTCACCTATCCGGACATCAAGCAATTTGTCGATGATCGGCTGGCGCGGCATGAAAAGATGCAGCTTCTCCTGAAGACACAGCCTCTCAAAGCCCCGATTCTTGTCGAAGAACTTATTGCAAAGGCCTCTGGTGTCTTTCTCTGGGTTCGATTGGTCGTCAAGTCGCTGTTAGACGGCCTGCGCAACGATGACCAAGTTTCAGACCTTCTGGTTAGACTACGACTCATCCCGCCTGATCTCGAAAACCTGTACAGGCATATGTTGGGCAAAATGTCACCTCTGTATCGCGAGCAAGCTGCTCAACTATTTCAGATCATACAATACGCCCGTGAGCTTTGGGTTAACCGTCCTCTAAAGACATTGCTCTTGTCGTACGCAGAGTTCGATTCAGAGCCTTGCCTGCAGGTGCCACTGGGTCCGCTGGATGCCACAGAGGCTTTGCAACGGTGTCGAACGATGGAGAATCGTCTTAGAAGCCGCTGCTGCGGGTTGCTAGAGACGCGATATGTGGTCAAAGGCTGCGGCGAGAATTCAAATCAGACATCTCTCAACGACGAATCATCGACCAGTGGCATAGACGATACTAGGTTCGTTCTCGCAAATGCATCTTCTATTACCGAAGATGATCGCGACGCCGTCAACTCCAATGTGCAGTACCTTCACCGCACTGTCGCAGAGTTTCTGCACAGGAAGGAAGTCTGGGCTAGCCTAGTAGCGAGCGAAGACGTGCTACCTTCGACGTCGATCACCGCCGCGATAGGCCGTGCGACCTTGGTAAAGCTGAAGATATCACTGATTTCGGAACAAGACTGCATGATTTGGGCATCGAATTTGCTCAACTGTTGTAAGACCACGGAAGCCGAGACGAACGAGGCTCAGGTTCAAATACTTGACGAGCTTGACCGAGTTATGTGCTATCACTGGCATCGGGGTGGAGGCTGGGGACGAAACCATTGGGCGGCCCTTGTTGATTGCGACATTCGCTACCATCATATGTTCGCTCTCGCCGTTCGATTCGGTCTTGGCAGATATGTCGAGGAGAAACTCAATGACCTCGGACCAGATCTCATTCATTGCGGTGGTATGCCATTATTGCGACAGCTTATCAAGGTCCGGCAGCCACAGCTCTGCATGGAATTCGATGAGGTTCCATGCATGGCGAGCTTGCTCCTTCGCTACGGTGTCGATCCCAACGAAATGTATGACGGTTTCAGCACTTGGCAGTGTGCGATGTTCACCTATCGTAATGAAGCACAGTCGTGGAACATGAATGCTTGGATCAGCCTTTTGAGCCTTTTGGTGATGAATGGCGCAGACGTCAACGCCCCCTTCTATTTTAAGGTGCCAGGAAATTCTTCTGCGGTCCAGAAATCATCTTCAATGTCACCGTTGCGTGCTGTCCGAGAAGTCCACCGACGTCTATTGGACCAGGACGTAACATCGACAGCGACGTCAGAACTAGAAGATTTGCTTCTGGAATATGGCGCGCAGCTTAATCTAGATCGTGATCGAGCTGGCACTGATGAAATTCCGTTCCTTTGCCCACCTGACGCCGAATCAGACGAAGATGAAGAGCAAGAAGAAAATAACCCAATGCCTGCTAGAGACCACTCATCAATGACAGCTCCGGTATGGAAGCTAGCTGCGGCGATCTTTGCAGATGAAACAACCGACCAAAGTGAGTACGAGATTGCGCAGGCCAAGGTCAAAGAAATACTATCCAAAAGGAAGCATCGGCCCACATCTCGAGAAGGGCAGGGGGGCAACAGATTCCTACAAGACGCCCTCTCCCATGTCCAGACCGTCGTGGACGAAAGAGTCAAGGATCTGCGCTATCACATGGGCCAGGGCGACCAGATCCCAAAATGGCACTACATGGCGCAGGGCTACCTACCAAAGAGTGTAAGGTGGTTGCATTGATGGCGAGAGTCTCTCAGACTCATCCTTGCCTGGCGGTTCGTCAACGACTGGGATCGACTCTGCCTTTTTTCTTTGGCTATAGCGCATGGGATCGAGCCAGGGTTGGATTGTGCTGAGACCTACTTGGTATGACTGTATGATGCGAGCTATCTTGAGTATTTGTGAGTTTCGAGTACAATGTATATGTATGGACTATAAAAATTTCGGAATGCATTCCCAAATCATTTTTCATCGTCTTGCTGGGATGTGGCCACTTGCCTTCCATCCGCCGTGAGCCCCATCATCTTAAGTCCGAAGCGGCCATACGCTTAGCATGCACTCCAGCCCGGTAAATGTCCTGATTGCTCGCGAAATGTGACACGGAAGCAAAGGTTGTAGCAAGATGACGAGCTGTGCAATCACTGTACGGAGCCCGCCTAGCAGCCTCGTCTAGAACTGTCATGTCGAGATTGGGACAAGGCTACGGGAAATAGGGGGGATCAGCCCACCAGGGGCTTGTAAGCGACCATCTCTCTCTCCACGCGAGACTAGCGAGTCCCATCTCAATCAGTCCGTAGAAGATAGTTCTTGGTATCTCGCAACGCATCCCCGACGCCCCTTTTTGGTAGAGATATCGGCATTTCTGTGCATGGCGACTGAGTCCATTCGCTTTGACATGGGTTTCAGTGACGCCGAGAAGCAGAAAAGAGGGGTACCAGGAGCTCTCCGCAACTTGGTAGACTTTCGCTAGAGAAGATATTGAGGGAGAAGATTGTAGTCGCTTCACTATACATCTCGGGGAATACATCTCGATGCCAATCGCGACTAAAGCAGGTCAAAAAGGAAGCTTCATTCCACCTGGGAGGTGATGAAGAAGACTGTCTCGTCAGGCAAGGTTAGGGCAATTGGAGTTTCCAGTTTCTCAATTGCCGACCCTAAATGCCTTCTGCCTCACGCGAACGACGTTTAAAACTCATGCATTCAGATCGAGGCTGACCCGTGGCTGCCAGATGACGACCTGATTGTTTCATGAAACAACATGATATCCTGACGGCCTGCTACTAACCGTTAGGATGGATTTGAGACGGGTGGATAGTCAGCAGCAAAACGTTGATAGAAAAAAGATCGCCAACACCAAACCCAAGTGCGAGATCTTAGGCATGCGTACAGGCGTTGCCCACGGAGTATTCTCACATATCCCCTCGAAATGTCCGCTGCGGAGCGATTTGTTGGCCTCTCTCCTGACGACTTACTGCAATGATGCTCCGCGCTCCGACCTCCGACCACCAATAGGGTTGCAGGCCTTATACCCCGAGATTTATCTCCACTAATGGTGCTTTTGCCAATGGTACCCAGGCGTAGCTACTCGCTTTGTCCATTCATGGTCTCGTTATGATGAGTCGCTCTGCGACCGAAGAATCTCTTCTTGCTCTACAAGACAGATCGCGATCGGCCCAGACCTTTCCGTTTCCCATTCGAGGATGGCCATTCGTGGGATCTTGACAAGGCTGAGGATCCATCCACCATTACAACCTTTGCTGTCTCGCGAGGGGGTATTGAAGTTGCAAAATGTCTTTTGCAAATATAACCCAATTCACTGTCGCCGGCGTCTCATGACAACGGATTGTTTCGCCCCAGGGGACATTAGGCGATCGGCTGCATCTCTATCTCCCGCACGGGCAAGTAACCACGATACAGGCCTTGCTCCCTTTCGCAAAGACGACCTGCCACCTGACTTGGAAGTACCATCCCCGGTGACCATTGACAGTGTCGAAGCAACGAAATGGTCTGAAACGACCGACGTCCTGGTCGTAGGATTTGGTGCTGCCGGTGCCGCAGCTGCCCTACAAGCTCGCGAGCTCGACGCCCAGGTAATCGCGGTCGACCGTTTTGGAAATGGCGGTGCGACATTCTTCAGCGGCGGCGTTATTTACGCCGGGGGTACCGAAGCCCAGCGTCAAAATGGCGTCGACGACTCACCTGAGGAGATGTTTAAGTACCTGAACACTGAGGGTTGTCCTGTCGAACCGGAAACATTGCGAAAATTCTGTCAGGACAGTGCTAGCAATGTCGAATGGGTGGTTCAGCATGGGTTGCCGTACGGCGGCCCAGTTTTCTTCGAAAAGACAGCGTTTCCACCCGCGCCGCATAAGATCTACTATTCGGGCAATGAGGCCATGCCCTCATATGCGGAAAAAGCCAAACCAGCGCCTCGCGGCCACATGGCGGCAGGCAGAGGCTTTGGAGGCTCCAAGTTGTACAAGACCCTCCGTGACGCTGCTGAAAAGGCAAAAGTCAGGTTCCTGCCCCATACAAAGGTGACTCGACTTGTTGTCGACCGTGACCATCATGTCGTCGGTGCCGAGGTGATGAGCCTCCCCCAGGCCCTCTGGAAACAACACGACAAATTGTTCAAGACGGTGCACCCGTGGGTGCCATTCAATGCTGGTCGGTGCAAGAAGGCCATTAAGAAGGCGACCGACTTGGAGGCCCGGGTGACCGAGCGGAAGCTAATTAGGGCCCGACACGGTGTTGTCCTATGCTCTGGCGGCTATAATCGTAACCTGCCGCTGGTCGAAAAATACCAACCCGTTCTGGCAAAGCACTACGAAAAGACGTTGCCGCTGGGCTCCATCAGCGATAATGGAGCCAGTATCGCTTTGGGAGCGTCAGTAGGGGGCGTATCGTCATTGCTGAGCCATATCAGTGTTGCAAGAACAATGGTACCTCCCAACGTCTATGCCAATGGAGTATTGGTCAATGCTCACGGCAAGCGGTTCATCAACGAAGGAGCATATGCGATGTTTATCGGTACGGAAATGCTCAATCAGCCAGACGGGAAGGGATATCTGATCCTCGAATCCCGGGACTTCTGGTACGGTGTGTACAAGTCTTTCTTCACTGGGGGCAATTTCCTGCTCTGGGGGGCGCCGGCACTCATCAACATCTTCTTCGGCGGTACTCGACGAGCTCGATCTATGGAGAAGCTTGCGAAAAAGATCAAAGTGCCTTCTCAGGCATTGAGAGAGCAGATTGAGGAGTACAATAACGCCTGCCTCTCAGGTCAGGCAGACAAACTGGGCAAAATGAAAGACATTTTCCGGCCGGTTGCCAAGGGACCCTTCTATGCCGTCAATGTATCTCTTGGGAACAGGTTCAACCCAGCGCAGTCAATTACCATGGGGGGCTTGGTCGTGGACGAGCCAACGGGAAATGTCAAGCGGGAAGATGGCACCACGGTGCCCGGCCTTTACGCCGCTGGGAGAGCAGCGATTGGGGTTTGTTCGGGCGGATTTGTGAGTGGAATGGCGTTGGCCGATGCCCTCTTCAGTGGTCGTCGAGCAGGCCGGACTGCTGCCACTCATCCGATCACAGCCTCGGTGTAGAATGCACCAGCAAACTTGGTGATAATTGTTGGATACCACTGTAAAGAAGTCGGAACTGGCCGTCTGGCCATTTTCCTTGCTAGGTCAACAATTCGATTTTCTCGTCAAATATCAGGCATCCATCAGGAGCTTGAAAACAGCTTTATACCGTTGATTCTCCTTCCTGGCGAGGCTGCCCTACTGCTTAGATCGGGGGAGTTCGCCCGCAACTGGATGCATTTATTGGTAAAGACTGAATTGCATTACTACACACACATGTAGATCGACTCGTTGGCGCTACAACTGCTTCCTCCAAGGAGCCGATTGAGGACATTCTCCCGACTCAAAGATATTATGCTCCAGAGATCTGATCTACATCCTGCAGAAACCCACCCTTTCCTACCAACGCGAGGGTCGTGTTTGTTACCAATTCAGGCTGCGATGACCTTGATTTCGCGCTCCTCAGTCTTGATTCCTTGCATCTTCCGAGCGACTCTGTCAGTCATGGCATCCTCGAGCATATTGTCCTTCACCAACAGCGCTGCGATCACAGCACAAAGCGCAAAAGCGATCGATGTGTAGTAGACCATCTGGAACGATTTGAAAAAAGCAGTGTGAGCAGCAACGGTGGCGCTTTGGATGACCTGAGGAGTGATGCCTGGGATTTTGGCGAGCGCTGATTGATCGCCAGCAGCAATGTCCTGGACCAGCTCAATGGCGGCGTTCTGAGTTAGGCCAGCCTTCATTGCGGCGGGAATGACGTATTTGGGCAAGTTGTGGGTGATTTGAGTGTTGAGAATTGTGACATATATCGCGTCTAGGACCATTGTCAGCCTTAGCATATCTGGGGAGGATTCTTAACCAAACGAACCCGATAGTGTGGAGAAGCATGTCCGGATGCTGAATAGGGCACCAATAGCAATGCCGAAGTCTTTGGTGTCAACCATGAGAGGTGCGCCACTGATCGTGATGATTTCCATGTATCCAATGCCGAAGCCGACAAGGATGCTGAAAACAGCGGCCATGGGAAGCGTCAAGCTTGCTGCGGCGCTGGCGCCCACAAACGCAGTGAAAAGAAGACAGGACAGGAGTAGCTGCCACTTGATGTATCTGAACAATTTCACCGTGAATCCAGCCATTCCCTGTCCAGCTAGCACGCCCGCCGTGATTGTGCACTATTCATGGTAAGAATGAAGAAAGAGAAAACAAAGCCGCGTTCTACTTACGCTGTACCACCCAGCCTGACTTGATGACCTGCCGAAAACATACCCCAGCTGCTGTGGGTAAAGGATGCACAAGGCGTAGAAAACCATGGAACCGAAACAAGAGCATGCGAGCAGGCAGTTAAAGTTGCGGCTCCTGAACAGGCGAAGTGGTAGCAAAGGCAGGGCTGGCTTTCCGAAAAATTCTGACGGCTGGTCAATACCTTCCTAGGCGGTTATTATCAGAATCCATGTCTTACCCCAAAGGACGAAAATGATCATGACAACCCCCCCGACCACGACAGATACAACGACCTTGTAAGAATCCCAAGCTACCAGTCGTCAGCTCTTGGTTTGCCGGTCTAGATGGACCATGCATACGATATCTCTGGCCGCCCCAGGAAATTCCGAAGAGGAACGGTACCACGCCACCGCAGAATAGGATCAAGCCAATATAATCAAGCGACTTGATGAACTGCCATTTGGTATGCCGGGTATGCAGTTGTTCAAATTTGGGAGGATGATAGCAGATGGCGAACAAGATGACTGCGGCAAAGGTTGTGCCGGCCAGGAGATAGTAGATTGATCGCCAGCCTTGGGAGGTGTGCGTGGCCAAGCTCAGTGCTAAGAAATCAATCAGCATCTCGCAGCCCGCA